GTCACGGTCGTCACGCAATGCTGGTACAGTCGGCTAGCGTGACCATCGTAACTAAAGTTTCAAATCTCGTGGGAACTTAAAGATAGGACAATTTAATTAATTACTATGCAGAAAAACATAAAGATTTAGAAGTTTAAAGACTTGCTATCGAATCCAAAATTTTTTAGGAACTGAAAGATTAAATTTTACTAGCTTCACATTTCTTTCGCACTAATTTCTTAAGGTAGAAATAAACCTTTATTCAAATAAGAGAATTAATCGAACTATTTCTACGGGAAGCAAAACAAGCAAATATTTAGATCATCTTTCAACATCGCTTTAATCCCTTTAGTTTGGCGAAATTTGACGGCGAACCTAAGCGGCACTGATTTAAACGAATTCCACGTTAGATTATGAGGGCAACCAATTTTAAGATATAAAACGAAATATTGAAAGCACAATTTATGCGGCACTGTAGCAGTACTGCGTAAATTGTGCTTCTAAATGTTTCGCTTTATTACTTTCAGATAATTTCGACTCTTTAGAATAACAGCAATAATAAACGACGCGTAAACAATCCGCGTAATTTTGACTTCCAAATTTCCTTTAATGTAGGTCTAAACACTAAATAAAAAACAATAACTAGGACGAGAGAAATCCAATATCAGTAGCTTCGCAGAGGAAAGATTATTATTGACTTGTGCTCTTTGGTGAAGTTTGTGGGATGAAGGTCGGTCAGACCAGCGCGATTCTTTGTTCAATTTTCTGGGCATCGATGACGGAGACCCACTGAAGACTGAGTTTCACTGTCTTGCGCCCTCTTTTTTCTTGTCCACGACTCTGGATATTTTTCACGATATATTGACTTTGCAGACGCGCACTTTCAAACCAAAATTATAATTTTCACTACAAATTGTTTTGGCTAATTTTAATTCCAAATTGATTTGGTGTGGTATTGTGACAAAGTTGAATGAGACCCTGATGGCATGAGGAGCAAACTCTCACTTTCCTTCACCCTGCCCTCCCCACCTGGAGACAAACGGCCAAATTTTCTAAGTGTCCAACTGCCCCCAGCTTGAATGAAGGGATCAGATAAAACAGACCAGGATTTTAAAGTTGGAATATCAAATGAGGACAGAAGAATGAACACCGACTCGGAGCGGAGTGGAAGCAGCCCGGCAGGGACGGGGGAGGCTAGATTACTTTTTTTTGTATTTTTTTTATTGTAAATAAATGGACAACAGAGACAAGCTTTATTCGTTCAATAAAATACTGTTATCTTCAGTACCTGTGCTGTTTACTTTGTAATCCAACTACTTGAGTGAACCAGATAAACCCTCTTAAGGCTCAGACACAGTAAAACATTACGCGCAGTAAAGGCTGGTTTTTACTAACGACATGAACACAAGCGTCAGTTTAGTAAAGACATCAACAACAAAAGCATAAGCACAACTTTAGGAAACCCACGCACTTATTATAATTCTTCTTCCGCGCAACGAATTAACACAACATAAGCACAAGCAAGATAAAACAAAACAAAGTTTGTTTTGTTGTGCTCAGCTCGTGTTGTGTTAATCCTTTACGACGAGAGAACAAGAACAACCTTTGTGCTCACACCTTCAGTTTTGTATTTAAATACACTTCAGTTGTTGATGACCTCGCTAAACTTAAGTCTGTGGTACGCTGCTAGTAAAACCCAGACTTAAAATTACACTGTATTTCCACTCCCGAAGACCTGGTCCGAAATGTTTCAAAGCCAAAAAAAATATTGCGTTGTCATTTTGCTTTATAACTCTTTATGGAAATGGAAACACAGCGCAAAGTTACTGCGCGTAATGTTTCACTGTTTGTCCAAGCCTTACAATAAGCCAAGTTCTGCTTTGCATATTATAAAGCTTTAAGCAATCTACAAAGCGGCGGCAGCAAGATCGGCACTTGAAAAAATAATTAGCAGTTATGCGAACATCATTTATCGTCTAAATTTTCTCAGCATTTTAATTGATTTACCTTTTAATTTAAACTTTGTACGCGCACGTTTTGAATTTGATATTTGAAGGCTAAATGTTTCTGTTCCGTCTCAAATCCTTGAATTTTTTATTATTACTTTTCTTGTTGTTTTGCGTACAAAAGCGAATAAATGTGCAACAAAATGACAGCGAGCGCGCTGGGAAAGCCTTTTGTTGTTTTAATTTTCGCAGCATTTTAAATTTACCTATTAATTTGAACTTTGTTCGCGCGCGTTTTGAATTTGATATCCCCTACATGGCTAAATGTTTGTGTTCTCAAAACCTTGAACTTCTGATTATCACGGTCTTGTATTTTTTTTTTTTGCATACAAAAGCGAATAAATGCGCAAAAAAATAAAAGCGAGCGTGCATATGAAGCCTTCTGTTAGGTGCCACTGTTGCTGCCGTCTTCATTTGTGATTGCTTGTGCTCCAAAAGTAGGAAAAACATGAGGGAACAAATTTCAGACTTTTTCAGTAAGCAGTTTGTTTTTCATTAAACGGCATCCCACAAAATACGTGCACATAGAAAAAAACCTAACCGAAAAAATATTACTATGCTATAAATCCGATGTCAAACTTGCGCGTGATCTTCTTCGCGGCCGGTTTTGGCTTCACGACTTTGCGTGAAGAGCCAAAATAACGGCCGAAAAAAAGACTCCAAGTTTGATACGAGTTGATGTTAATAAGAATTTCAATTTTCACATTATTTAAGGATTCCATAGTTACTGTAAAACAAACTGCTTATCTGAAGGCCTTTAGGTTACTGAGAACTTTCAGTCCCAAGCTTTAACATGTTATTTTCTTTACTAACTGCTGCAGATTTTCTTTACCATCAGTTCTGAGAATTTGACAGTTGATCAAGACAAAGCCTCCCCTTTCCCGATAATTATGTTATTTTCAACACCATTCTGCTTGGTAATTTACTCAGAGAAGTAAAGAGAAATAACATGTTGATCACTCTGGAATTGAAAAAGATGAGTGCAAGATTTCAAAATCTCCCAACTTTACTTCCTCAGAAGCACACTAAGTTTTCCAAGCCCAGTTTTACTCTGTGCTTGTCAAACGTACTTTAAAACACTGCGGCAGAAATTTTTAGTGGTGACTCTATTTTAATCATTTCATTGTTGCTGTTGTTGTTGATGTTGTTGTGTAATTCTTCTTCCACTTTGCAAAGAGTGGACTGATTATGTTGGCAGAATTAATTCAACGAATGTCATAATGAGAGCCACAAGATTCATACTCAAAGCACTTGTTGCTGCTTTCCACAAAGAGGTTTGAACATTAGGCACGCAATCCAAATTCACAATCAATTAAAACAAATTAAAGGAATAATCCAGTTCAACCATGCCAAATTCTTTTTTTCTTGTAATGAAAACTGTGTAGCCTAAATTTTCCCCGAACGTGGGAATGAAAATGGCAGTGAATTTAACAATTTAGACATTTTATTCACTTAAACTGAGAAATCACCTTCAAGAATGGGAAGGTAAGTTACTGCAGTGAAGAATATCAGATATTCAAGCTTCAAAACAAAACAACAAATTAATTTGCCTACGCCTGGAGTTTTACCTAAGAACAAACGCTCCTCTCCTCCCACCCCTCCTAACACCCCTCACCCCCCCATCAAATGCTGTCTTAGGTTGGCTGATGAGTTGATTGGTTGTATGACTATTGTAATCGTTGGAACAATTAGCAGCCAACAAGAAGCACTACACTGCACATCATCAATGTGAAGTGTATTCAGTCACTCCTCAGACACATTTCTATGCTGGGAAGTTGCTGGTTAAAGCAAGAAGAGATTTGAAATGCACTCATCAAGTTCACAGAAAACGAATATACGAGTCAGCACAGATATGCAATCTACCAACTATACCATTAAAATACAAATCCAAAATAAGGCCACTGAGAATTGATTAGACCCTCCAGCTCTCATACAGGTCAGTTCAAATATCGGTCTGTCTGTTGAAACAGTTGGGTTAAACGTCAGCATTGATTCCGGTCAGTCAGAAAAAAAAATCAAAAGACGATCAGTTATTCAGTTTGACAAATCCTTGTCATGTTGGTACTCACACAGATCCCACTCATCTTTGTCATACCAGTCATCTTAGTCATTCCAGTCTTCCCAGTAATTGTAGTCATCCATGTCATCCCAGTCATCCTAGTGATCCCAGTCATCCAAGTCAACCCAGTCACCATAGTCACCCTAGTCGTCCCAGTCACCCTAGTCACCCTAGTCGTCCCAGTCATTTGTCATCCCAGCCATCTCATATTTTGTTTGTAATCCCAGTCCAATCCCTAAGTCATCCCAGTCATTTGTCATCCCAGTCAATCACCCAGTCATTCCACCGTATTTATTCGAATAAGCGCCCAACCTCGAATTAGCATCCCGAATAAGCCCATTAAATTATGCTCATCGAATAAGTCATCCTGGTCACCCCAACCCCAGTCAAAAGTGAAAAAAGTCATCCCAGTCATCCTATTCATCCCAGTCAAAATGGTGAAAATTTAATAAGTCATCGAATAAGTCGAATAAGCGCCCACTATCAAGGTCAAAAACATAGTCAAGGGCGGTTATTCGAATAATTCGTATTTGTAATCCCACAAATCCCAGTCATCTTTGTCATCCCAGTCATCTCAGTCATTCAAGTCATTGCACTCATCCCAGTTATTGTAGTCTCCAAGTCATCCTAGTCATCCCAGTCATCCCAGTCATCATAGTCATCCCAGTCATTCCATTCGTCCAAGTCATCCTAGTCATCCCAGTTATCCCACTAATTCCAGTCATCCTAGCGATCCCAGTCATCCCAGTCATCCTAGTTATCTCAGTAGTCTGAGTGATCCCAGTCATCCCACTCACCCTAGTCATCACAGTCATCCCAGTCACCCTAGTCATCACAGTTACCCTAGTCATCGAAGTCATCCCAGTCATCTTAGTGATCCCAGTCATTCCAGTCACCCTAGTCATCCTTGTCATCCCAGTCATCCTAGTCTCAGTCATTCCAGTCATAGTAGTCAACTAAGTTATCCCAGTCACCCCAATCATCCTAGTCAGCCTAGTCGTCCCAGTCATCTTAGCCATTCTAGTCACCCTAGTCATCCTAGTCATATTAGTCATCCCAGTCATTCCAGTCATCCCAGTCATGTTAGTGATCCCAAAAATCCCACTCATCTCAGTCATCCCAGTCAGTAGTGTCATCACAGTCATAAAGCCGATAAATGCTAATCCAGGACAAAACTTATAAGGACCACAGTTTCTGCATTTAAGTTTTCCGATCATGAGTACTTCACCAACAAGTGCATGTCTCTTGGAAGTTTCACTCAAATCAATCAAATTATTTTTGTTCTAAAAACCAAAAAGATTTCAGTGCGTTTCAGCTGTCTTTGTATTGTGATTCCCTGCAGACATAAACTGGCGATTGCAAGCATTTATTTAATGCAAAATGTCTAATTCATACAAAGTTTAACAGGAATGCTTTGAAGTGCCAATATTATTTATTCAAAAGTCAATAATGAAATATTTGTTTATCCTGTTGATTCCCTTTATACACTTTTTGACATGCCAGTCACTGAATCACCAACAGCTGTTGCTGTTCAGGACTACACTCAATATTGGATGACTATATTCTGCAACTTTCTCACTAATAATAGTATCTGATGATCCTGGGTTAAATAATTTTATTTTCACCATAATAATGTTGGCTAAGCAGTACAACTGTAATTGATTTAATTTATTTTGGAATTTTGCTCTTTTATGTTGCATTTTATTTTGAACGTTTTTTTTTAGTTTGTATTGTTGTTAATGTTGTTGTTGTTTTATTGGACAAAGTAAGATTGATTAACTTCTACTCCCAAAAGTGGTACACTTGATGGTGAAATAACTGTGAAAAGAAAGAATAAGGTACAATATATCCGTTACAACAGCTTTCCCTGGATTAGCTTAATCCAACTTTGAGAACACCTGGTCATCCACGTCATCCCAGTCACGTTGGTCACGCTATTCTTCCCAGTCATATTAGTCATTCCAGTCATGTTTGCAATCCCACAAATCCCAGTCATATTTGTCATCCCGGTCATCTCAGTCATTCCAGTCATTCCACTCATCCCAATTATTGTAGTCATCCTATTCATCCCAGTCATAGTAGTCAACTAAGTCATTCCAGTCATCCTAGTTATTCCAATCATCCCAGTCATCCTATTCACCCCGGTCATTGTCAACTAAGTCGTCCTAGTCATCCCAGTCATTCCATTTGTCCAAGTTATCCCAGTCATCCTAGTGATCCCAGTCATCCCAGTCATCCTAGTCATCCCAGTCATCTGAGTGATCCCAGACATCCCACTCACCCTAGTCATCACAGTCACTCCAGTCACCCTAGTCATCCTAGTCATCCCAGTCATCTTAGCCATTCCAGTGACCCTAGTCATACTAGTCATGGTAGTCATCCTAGTCATCTTAGTCATCCCAGTCATCCTAGTCACCCTAGTCATTCCAGTCATCCTGGTCATCCCAGTCACATTAATCATCCCAAAAATCCCAGTCATCTCAGTCATCCCAGTCAGTAGTGTTACCCCAGTCATCTTATTCATCCCAGTAACAGTAGTCAACTAAGTCATCTTATTCATCCTAGGCATGATAGTCATTTCAGTTACCATAGTTAATTTAGTCACCCCAGTGATACTAGTCATTCTAGTCATTCCAGTCATCTCAGTCATCCCAGTAATCCTTATCATCCCAATCCCAGTCATCCCAGTCGTCCTAGTGATATCGGTCATCCCAGTCATCCCATCCCAGTCATCCTAGTCATCTGAGTCACCCTAGTCATCCCAGTCATCTTTGTCATCCCATTCATAGTAGTCATCCTAGTCATCCCAGTCATCTTAATCATCCCAGTAATTCCAGTCATTCCAGTTATAGTAGTCATGCTAGTTATCCTTGTCATCACAGTCATCCCATTCAATTATTAAGTCAAACAGTTATTTGAATAGATCAACATGGTAAGAAATTTGAAGGGTACAATAAGGATTGCATATCTGTACTAACAGGTACTGTACTACAATAACAACCTTATAATAATAATAATAATACCTATTATTATTATTATTATTACTATTATATCAGCAGAACTTGGCTATTGGTTTAAACGTTGTGACACAGTTGAACAAAGCCGATAAATTCTAATCCAGGAGAAAACTTATAAAGACCAAGGTTTCGGCATTTAAATTTTCTGATCATGAGTACTTCACCAACAAGTGCATGTCTCTTGGAATTTTCAATCAAATCAATCAAACTATTTTTGTTCTTGAAACCAAAAAGATTTCAATGTGTTTCAGCGGACTTTGTGTTGTGATTTCCTGCAGACATAAAATTGGCGATTGCAAGCATTTGTTTAACATAAAATGTCTAATTCATACAAAGTTCAACAGAAATGCTGAATGCATCCCTTAAAAATAATGGTTTTATTTCTTTGGTCTTGAAGAACGAATTATTTTATGCAGAAGTCAATAATAAACATTTGTTTGACCCTGTTGATTCCCTTTATACACTTTTGACATGCCAGTCACTGAATCACCAACAGCTGTAGCTGTTCAGAACTACACTCAATTGGATGATCATAATCAACTTTCTCACTAATAATAATAATTGATGATCCTGGGTTCAATTTTTATTTTCACCATAGTAATATTAACCAAGCTGTATAACTGTACTTGATTTAATTTTGTTTTGGAATTTTGCTATTTTATGTTGCATTTTATTTTGCACGTCTTTTTAGTTTTTATTATTGTTGTTGTTTTATTGGAAAAAGTAGAAGTGGTACACTTGATGGTGAAATAACAGTGAAATGAAAGAATAAGGTACAATATATCTCTGTTACAACAGCTTTCCCTGGATTAGCTTAATCAAACTTTGAAATCAACTGGCCAACAATCCTGTTTATCTGGTTCACTCAAGAGCTGGATTACAAAGCAAGACATAGAGAACATACGGTACTGAAGATAACAGAGGCTCGTTGCTCGTGAAAGTCCTTGTCCAGCCTTTCTGTGACATCTGATCTGGAAACAAAAATTTAAAGTACTCAATGAAGCTCATCAGTTACTTTCATTATATCATGGGTGACGAATTATTCCTTAATTCTGGCATGAAGTTTCAGCATTAATTTATAATGAAATTACAAAATTGCCGTGGGAACCTTCTGTACATCTCAGTGCCAAGATGGTAAGGGAAATTTAAAATGTTATCATGGAATGGAGATGTCAGGGCATTAAAAGATGCTTTAGAAACCTAAACACACCAAAAAGCACATCAAGAAGGATTCTGACACGTATTTTGTCGAAATACTCTGAAAATTCTGAACTTAAGCCAAACTTAAGCTCGAAACTTTTGAGAGAGTTCTCATCCTTGATTGATACAATCCAGGATAAACATCTCAAAAATCCACGGTTGCGAACTTAATTCGTCACCCATGATATTAATAGGTAATCAAATGGTAGACTCATGAAATGAGGAAATAATTTCACTTGCCTTTTGGACAAGTTGCAGGTGAAATTATTCCCTAACTTCCCTCATCACCATTTGATTACACATACAAACAGACCAATTTCCCATTAACATTCAAACCTTGCTATTGGAATCGAGTAAAGAAGTTCATTTGTTCAGAGCGTGATTAACACAGACTGTAAATAATGGATACACTTGTGTAAAATTACACTTGTGAAAGTTTTATTAAATTCACTGTGCATTGCGGACCCCAGTCAGTCCCTAAGTCAGTCAGTCAGTTACTTTCAGTTAGTCGGTCACTTGGTAAGTTATTCAGTTTACCCAGTCATTCAGTCAGTTACTCAATTGGTCATTCTGTCAGCCAGGCATATGAAACTGCACAGCCAGTCAGTCAGTCAGGTACCCAGCTGCATAGTCAGTCAGTCAGTTGCTCAATCAGTCATTCTGTCAGCCAGTCAGGTACTCAACTGCACAGTCAGTCAGTTGCTCAACCACTCATTCAGTCAGCCAGTCCGGTACCCAATTGCACAGTCAGTCAGTCAGTCAGTTGCTCAGTTAGTTAGTATCTGGTACTGTAAGTTGCTCATTCAGTCAGTTAAATAATCAGTCATTCCATCAGCCAGTCAGTTGGTTACAAGTAGACAGTCAGCCAGTATCTAAGTTGTTCAGTCAGTCAGTCAAAATGGTTAGTTGATAAGTTAGAAGTATACTAAGCAAATTAATCAGTTAATCAGTTAATCGGACAGTCAATTAGTCAGTTGGTCAGACAGTCACTTTTTGAAACTTTAAACCAAACAGTTCTGTTTATCTGGTTTACTTAAGAGCTGGATTGAAACACAAACATACAGTACTTACATTACTGAAGATAACAGAGGCTCTTGGCTCATGAAGGTCCTAATTGTCCATTCTTTCTGTGGCATCTGATCTGAAAACAAAAGTTTAAAATACTCATTGAAGCTCATGAAGCTCCAAACGATGTCTTAGGTTGGCTTATGAGTTGATTGGTGGTAGAACTATAGTAATCTTTGAAATAATTAGAAGCCAGCAAGAAGCACTACACTGAACATCATCAATGTGAAGTGTATTCAGTCATTCCTAAGACATATTTCCATGAGGGGAAATTGCTGGTTTAAGCAAGAAGATATTTGAAATGCACCCATCAAGTTCACAGAAGACGAATATATGAGTCAGCCCAGATATGCAATCCACCAACTATACCATTAAAAAACAAATCCAAAATACTGGTACTGGAATTGACCCTCCACTGTCATACAAGTCAGTTCAAACATTGGTCTGTCTTATGAAACAATTGAGTTATATGTCACACCATTCTGTATCGATTCTGTCCAGTCAGAATAAAAATCAACAGACAGTCACTTATTCAGTTTGACAAATCCTTGTTCGGCTAGTATTAAAACCGGTGAGACAATAACAATTTTGGAAAATTTGCCATCAGCAAAATAAAAAGCCTTTAAAAGTCCTAGTCATCCTAGTCACCCTATCCATCACAGTCACCCCAGTCCTCCCAGTCACCCTAGTCATCCCAGTCACCCTAATTATCCTAGTCATTTCAGTCACCATAGCCATCCCAGTCATAGTAGATATCGCAGTCAGCCTCGTCATCCAACTCAACAGAGTTATTCTTGTCATCCCAGTCACCCTAGTCATCCCACTCATCCTAGTGATCCCCATCAAACTAGTCATCCGAGTCATCCCAGTCATCCTAGTCATCCTAGTCACCCTAGTTGCCCCAGCCATCCTAGTGATTTCAGTCATCTCAGTCACGCTAGTCATCCCGCTCACACTAGTTATCAAAGTCACCCTAGTCACCAAGGTCATCCCAGTCATCCCAGTCACCCTAGTCATCCTAGTCATCCTAGTCACCATAGTTGCCCCAGTCATTCTAGTGATCCCAGTCATCTCAGTCACCCTAGTCATCCCAGTCATCCGAAAGGCTCGAGTCGTCCCATTCCTCCCAGACATCCCAGTCACCCTAGTAATCCCAGTCATCCTCGTCACCCTAGTCATCCTACCCTAGTCATCCTAGTCACCCTAGTCATCCTAATGATCCCAGTCATTCCAGTCACCCTAGTCATCCTAGTCACCTTAGCTGTCCCAGTCATCCCAGTCATCCCAGTCATCCCAGTCACTCTAGTCAACCTAGTCATCCCAGTCATCCTAGTCACCCTAGTCGTTCCAGGCATTCTAGTCTTCCTAGTCACCCGAGTTACCTTAGTCATTCCAGTCACCCCAGTCATCATCCAGTTGTCCCAGTCATCTCGGTAATCCCAGTCATAGTAGTCATTCAAGTGATCCCGGTTATCTTATTCATCATCCAAGTCATCTTAGGCATCTTGTTTATCCCAGTCATTTCAGTCTTCCGAGTTAATTTAGTCATTCCCGTGATCCTAGTCATCCCAGTCATTCTATTCATCCCAGTGACCCAGTCATCTGAGTCATTCCAGTGATCCCAGTGATCCCGGTAACCCTAGTCATCTCAGTCACCATATTCATCCCACTCATCCTAATCATCCCAATCATCCTAGTTTTTCTAGTCCTAGTAACCCTTGTCATCCCAGTCACCCTAGTCATCCTAGCCCCCTTTGTATTCCCAGTCATCTTATTCATCATCCTAGTCAGGCCAGTCATCTTAGTCACACTAGTCATCCCAGTCATTTCAGTCTTCCAAGTTAATTTATTCATTCCAGTGATCCTAGTCATCCAAGTCATCCTAGTCATCCCAGTCCTCCTAGTCATCCCAGTCATTCCAGTCATCTTAGTAACCCTATTCCTCCGGGTCATCTTAGTCATCCCAGTCATCCTATTCATCCCAGTGATGCAGTCATCCCAGTCATCCCAGTGATGCAAGTGATCCCAGTCACCCTAGTCATACCAGTCACCTTAGTCATCCCTCTCATCCTAATCATTCCAGTCATCCCATTCACCCTAGCATTCCCAGTCATCCTAGTCATCCCAGTCCTCCTAGTCACCCGAGTCGTCCCAGTCACCTTAGTCATCCAGTCCTCTCAGTCACCCTAGTCCCAGTCATTGTGATCCTAGTGATTCCTGCAGTTGCAGTAAAGTCAGTTATTGTCAGACAGTCAGTTGAATAGATCAACATGGCAAGACATTTGAAAGGTACATGTACAATAATTGTGGATTGCATATCAGCAGGTACATGACTATAATACTAATATTATAATAACAATAATTCGAATAATAATAATAGTAATTATTATTATTATTATTATTATTATTATTATTATTATATCAGCAGAACTTGGCTATTGTTTCAAACATTGTGACACAGATGAACAAATTAAAGTCGATAAATGCTAATCCAGGAGAAAACTTAAAACAACAACGGTTTTTGCATTAGTTTTCTGATTGAGTACTTCACAAACAAGTGCTTGTCTCTTGGAATTTTAGCAGTCAATCAAATTATTACTGCTCTTGAAACCAAACAGATTTCAATGAGTTTCAGCTGTCTTTGTATTATAAAACGCTGCCGACAAAACTGGTGTTTGCAAGCAATATTTAATGTAAAATGTCTAATTCATACAAAGGTCAACAGAAAATAATGCTGAATGCATCCCTTAAAAATAATGATTTAATTTACTTGGTCTTGAAGTACCAATATTATTTATTAAGAAGTCAATAATAAAATATTTGTTTATCCTGGTGATTCCTGTTATACAATTTTGACATGCCAGTCACTGAATCACCAACAGCTGTAGCTGTTCAGAAGTACACTCAATTAGATGATCATAATCAACTTTCTCACTAATAATAATATCTGATCCTGGGTTCAATTTTAATTTGCACCCTAATAATGTTGACCAAGATGTACAACTGTACTTGATTTAATTTATTTTGGAATTTTGCTCTTTTATGTTGCATTTCATTTTGTACATTTGTTTTAGTTTTTATCGTTGTTGTTGTTGTATTATTGGAAAAAGTAAGACTGATAAATTTCTGCCCCCAAAAGTGGTGTACTTGATGGTGAAATAACTGTAAAATGAAAGCATTAGAGACAATATAATTATGTTACAACAGCTTTTCCTGGATTAGCTTAATCAAACTTTGAAACCACCTGGCCAACAGTCCTGTTTATCTGGTTCACTCAAGAGCTGGATTACAAAGCAAAACATGCAACACTTACAGTTTTAAAGATAAACAGAGACTCTTTGCTCATGAAGGTCCTTGTCCAGTCTTTCTGTGGCATCTCATCTGGAAACGAAAATTTAAAAAATTCAATGAAGCTCATCAGTTATTTTCAGAACAGACCAATTCCCATTAAATTCAAACTTGCTTTACAGATGCCTGCTTAGTTCAGAAAGCTTATTATTACGGACAGTTTCCTTTGTCCCTAGGGAAAGAGAGCCCCTATACTTTCTCTAAATTCAACCTGCTCAATACAGACAACCTGTTAATATGGACACTTTCTATGGCCCTATTGGAATCCATATTAAAAAGGGTGGACTATATCACATGTTCATGAATACCAGTGAGCAACCATGTTGGAGTAATTTTTATCATATATGATTATAATTATGTAAGCACCTACCCCCTGGGCTCTTCTAGAAAAATAACACCTCTGGCGTCAATTTTATAGGACTTTTACAAATATAATTTTACAAGTGTAGCTACTGTTTTCAGACTTTAGGACTAGCACTTTCGTTGGCTTAATTTAAGTTCCAGGTCACTTATCCTGCCATTTAGTATAACGTTTGTGACCATTATTGAAGGATCGCTTGTATACCATAATCATACTTTATGTATTGTCCTTCACTATTTGGATATATCTTCAGTGTCAGGTGTGTGTGTGTTTTTGATTCCTTTAGTTTATTTCTTTAGGTTTTTTTCTCTGTACATTTCCTTGTTTTGTATTTATTATTTGGTTTGATTATGTATAGCTTTTTTTTGGTTTAATTGTCTATCAGAAACCTCTGTATCAGAAAACAGAAAATTGAAGTTCATTGGAATGGAGTAACGAAGTTCAATTTTGTTCACACAGACTCTAAACAATGCATGGATACACTTGTAAATTAAACTTGTAAAAGTTTTATTAAATTGACCCCTCCTTTGTGGACCCCAGTCAGTCCCTAAGTCAAAATTACTGCTCAGTCAGTCAGACAGCCAGTTGCCTGCAGTTAATCAGTCACTTGGTAAATTACTCAGTTACATGTAGTCTGTCATTCAGTCAGTTGCTCAATGAGTCATTCTGTCAGCCGGTCAGATACCCAGATGCAGTCAGTCAGTCAGTCAGTTGTTCAATTAGTCAGTATCTTGGTACTGCAAGTTGCTCATTCAGTTAGTAATTCAGTCAGTTATAAAATAAGTCATTTTATTAGCCAGTCAGTCAGTTACAAGTAGGCAGTCAGCCAGTATTTAAGTTGCTCAGTCAGTCAGTCAAAATGGTTAGTTGATTAGTTAGAGGTACAGTGTATACTAAGAAAACAAGAAGACGCCTGAAGTCGTTTATGCGGGATGTGTTGGTGCAAATAAGAATTATGTTGAATGGCATTGGAAAGTTGAGCAGTGTATCAGCAACAAATGTGTGCAGGAGACACGGAGATTAAATACACTCGAAGATGAGTTACACACAAGGGTTCTTTCCCTCCTCAAAACAAAACTTACATCAATATTACCACCATATATGTTAGGAGTATGGGGTAGTTCACTAAAATTTTCATTCCAGCTTTACCAATATCCTCAATAAATGCACTTCCACATTCAACAATAGCATGTAACTACAGGGTGCAAGGCTGTGCTCTAAAGAACATATTCAGGGAGCCCTTCGCACTTCCATGCATTTTAGCTGGAATGCCAAGGCCTAAAAGATGGCCACCAAAATAAAATTTTGGGGAGCCCTTCTGGCTCCCAAACATTTTAGCTGGGGTGCCCAGCGGGCCACAAAGATGGTCACCCAAATTAATAAATCAATAAGCTGTTAGTTGATTATTAAAAATTAAAGAAATTGTTTACCAAACAAGTCAAGCAGACCTTCGTGTTTTGACTTTTTATTTTCATAAAAAATCACATTCTTTGACCTCATTAGTATGCGACAAAAAAAAAATGTCATATGAAATCAATGAAACCCAACAACGTTTTTGCGCCATATGAGAAACAAGGGCAACGCAGCGCAATATTTCATGGTTTTTTTATTAATTGGAAAAGGGGAAACAAGGGACACAGGGGACACAGGGGACACAACTGGACACAGGGGACACAAATGGACACAGGGGACACACGGGACACAAGAGACACAAGGGGACACAAGGGAGACAGGGGAGACAGGGGGACACAAGGGGACACAGGACAAAAGGGACAAATATAGTGTTTGATCTTAGCTTCACTTAAATTATTACGATCAAAATCGGGCAGGTCATAATATTCAGATATTTTGATAAGATTGTGGTAAAAGCTATTTTTACCATTATAGTGAGGTTCTAGCGAGGTACGAATGGCTTGTTTCACAATAGTATCCTCATTTTTACGCAGCAGATATCATATGTAATGAAGGATGTTACACATACATACATACATACATACACCCATACATACATACATACATACATACATACATACATCATAACCTTTATTTCAACTCGAATTTTAGAGTAGCTACTTTTGTAAATATTAATAATTACTGAAAATTGTCCTAATTCACTTCTACTTGCAACATATATAGCTTTTTTGCTTATATCTAGGTACTGCTTGCAAAATTTCAAGTGGGTTTTTTCAGTTGGGGTATTGTCCCAAACTTTAAAATCATCTCTTCCATCTAAACCGCAAATTTCGCTATTATATGATAATATCGGGAAATCATCGCTTACAGTATTTTGCAACAGAAGAAGGTTTGAATTTGCCAAAGTTTGTGTGTTTTCTTAACAAAGAGTAACAAGAGGTAACAAGATGTAACAAGAGGTAACAAGTGGTAACAAGGGGTAACAAAGGGTAACAAGGGGTAACAAAGGGGTAACAAGGGGTAACGAGGCATAACAGGGGTAACAAGGAGTAACAAAGGGTAAAAAGGGGTAACAATAGGTAAAAAAGGGTAACAGGGGTAACACAAGGTAACAAAAGGTAAACAGGGCAACAGGGTAAACAAAGGGTAACAAATGGTAACAAGGGGTAACAGCGGTAACAACAGTAAAAAAAGGGTAATAAGGATAACAAGGGGTAACAAGGGGTAACAAAGGAAAACAAACAGTAACAAGGGGCAACAGGGGTAAAAAGGGGCTACCAGGGGTAACAAGAGGTAACAAGGGGTAAAAAAGAGAAACAAAGGGTAACAAGAGGTAACCAGGGGAAAAGGGGTAACAAGGGGTAACAGGGGTAACAAAGGGTAACAAGGGGTAACAGGGGGTAACAATGGGTAACAGAAGTAACAAGGGGTAACAAGGGGTAACAAGGGGCAAAAGGTAAACAAAGGGTAACAAGGGGTAGCAAGAGGTAACAAAGGGTAACAGGGGTAACAAGGGGTAACAAGAGGTAACAGGGAAAACAAGGGGTAACAAGGGAAACAGGGGTAACAATGGGTAACAAAGGATAACAAGGGGTAAAAAGCAGTAACAATACGTAACAAGGAGTAACAGGGGTAACTCCGGGTAAGAAAAGGTAAAGAGCGAAAAAGAGGTAACAAAGGGTAACAAATAATAACAAGAGGTAACAACAGTAAAAAAGGGTAACAGGGGTAACAAGGGGTAACAGGGCTACCAAAGGGTAACAAGGGGAAACAGGGGAAACAAGGGGTAACAAGGGGTAACAGGGGTAAAAAGGGATAACAAGGGGTAACAGGGGTAACAAGGGGTAACAGGGGTAACAAGGGGTAACAGGGGTAACAGGGGTAACAGGGTAACAAGGGGTAACAAGGGGTAACAAGGGTAACAAGGGGTAACAAGGGGTAACAAGGGTAACAAGGGTAACAAGGGTAACAAGGGGTAACAAGGGGTAACAAGGGTAACAAGGGGTAACAAGGGGTAACAAGGGGTAACAAGGGTAACAAGGGGTAACAAGGGTAACAAGGGGTAACAAGGGGTAACAAGGGTAACAAGGGTAACAAGGGGTAACAAGGGTAACAAGGGGTAACAAGGGGTAACAAGGGTAACAAGGGGTAACAAGGGGTAACAGGGGGTAAACAGGGGTAACAAGGGGTAACAAGGGGTAACAAGGGGTAAAGAACAAGGGGTAACAAGGGGTAACAAGGGGTAACAAGGGTAACAAGGGGTAACAAGGGGTAACAAGGGGTAACAAGGGGTAACAAGGGTAACAAGGGGTAACAAGGGTAACAAGGGGTAACAAGGGGTAACAAGGGTAACAAGGGGTAACAAGGGGAACAAGGGTAACAAGGGTAACAAGGGGTAACAGGGTAACAAGGGGTAACAAGGGGTAACAAAGGGGTAACAGGGGTAACAAGGGGTAACAGGGGTAACAAGGGGTAACAAGGGGTCACAAGGGGTAACAATTGGTAACAAGGGGTAACAAGGGGTAACAAGGGGTAACAGGGCTAACAAGGCGTAACAGGGCTAACAAGGGGTAACAAGGGGTAACAAGGGGTACCAAAGGGTAACAGGGGTAAAAAGGGGTAACAGGGGTAACAAGGGGTAAAAGGGGTAAAAAGGGGTAACAAGGGGTAAGAAGGGTAACAAGGGGTAACAAGGGGTAACAAGGGGTAACAGGGGTAACAAGGGGTAAAAAGGGGTAACAGGGGTAACAAGGGGTAACAGGGGTAACAGGGATAACAAGGGGTCACAGGGGTAACAGGGGTAACAAGGGGTAACAAGGGGTAACAAGGGGTAACAAAGGGGTAACAAGGGGTAACAAAGGGTAACAAGGGGTAACAGGGGTAACAAGGGGTAACAGGGGTAACAAGGGTAACAAGGGTAACAAGGGGTAACAGGGGTAACAAGGGGTAACAAGGGTAACAAGGGGTAACAAGGGGTAACAAGGGGTAACAAGGGTAACAAGGGGTAACAAGGGGTAACAAAGGGTAACAAGGGGTAACAGGGGTAACAAGGGGTAACAAGGGGTAACAAGGGTAACAAGGGGTAACAAGGGGTAACAAAGGTAAAAGGGGTAACAAGGGGTAACAAGGGGTAACAAGGGGTAACAAGGGGTAACAGGGGTAACAAGGGGTAACAAGGGGTAACAGGGGTAACAAGGGTAACAAGGGGTAACAAGGGTAACAAGGGGTAACAAGGGGTAACAGGGGTAACAAGGGGTAACAAAGGGGTAAAAGGGGTAACAAGGGTAACAAGGGGTAACAAGGGGTAACAAGGGTAACAAGGGGTAACAGGGGTAACAAGGGGTAACAAGGGTAACAAGGGGTAACAAGGGGTAACAAGGGGTAACAAGGGTAACAGGGGTAACAAGGGGTAACAGGGGTAACAAAGGGTAACAAGGGGTAACAAGGGGTAACAAGGGTAACAAAGGGTAACAAGGGGTAACAAGGGGTAACAAGGGTAACAAGGGGTAACAGGGGTAACAAAGGGTAACAAGGGGTAACAGGGGTAACAAGGGTAACAGGGGTAACAGGGGTAACAAGGGGTAACAGGGGTAACAAGGGTAACAAAGGGTAACAAGGGGTAACAAGGGGTAAGGGTAAAGGGGTAACAAGGGGTAACAAGGGGTAACAAGGGGTAACAGGGGTAACAAGGGTAACAAGGGTAACAGGGGTAACAAGGGGTAACAAGGGGTAACAAGGGTAACAAGGGGTAACAAGGGTAACAAGGGTAACAAGGGGTAACAAGGGTAACAGGGGTAACAAGGGTAACAAGGGGTAACAAGGGGTAACAAGGGTAACAAGGGTAACAAGGGTAACAAGGGGTAACAAGGGGTAACAAGGGGTAACAAGGGTAACAAGGGGTAACAAAGGGTAACAAGGGTAACAAGGGTAACAAGGGGTAACAAGGGTAAAAGGGTAAAAAGGGTAACAAGGGTAACAAGGGTAACAAGGGGTAACAGGGGGGAAAAAGGGTAACAAGGGGTAACAAAGGGTAACAAGGGGTAACAAGGGGTAACAAAGGGTAACAAGGGTAACAAGGGTAACAAAGGGCAACAAGGGTAACAAGGGTAACAAGGGTAACAAGGGGTAACAAGAGGTAACAAGGGGTAACAACAAGGGTAACAAGGGTAACAAGGGGTAACAAGGGGTAACAAGGTTAACAAGGGGTAACAAAGGGTAACAAGGGGTAACAAGGGGTAACAGGGTAACAAGGGTAGGGGTAACAAAAGGGTAACAAGGGGTAACAAGGGTAACAAGGGGTAACAAGGGTAAAAAGGGTAACAAGGGTAACAAGGGTAACAAGGGTAACAAGGGGTAACAAGGGTAAAAAAGGGTAACAAGGGTAACAAGGGTAACAAGGGTAACAAGGGGTAACAAGGGTAACAAAGGGTAACAAGGGGTAACAAGGGTAACAAGGGGTAACAAAGGGTAACAAGGGGTAACAAGGGGTAACAAGGGTAACAAAGGTAACAAGGGTAACAAGGGGTAACAAGGGTAACAAAGGGTAACAAGGGGTAACAAGGGTAACAAGGGTAACAAGGGTAACAGGGGTAACAAGGGTAACAAGGGGTAACAAGGGTAACAAGGGTAACAAGGGTAACAAAGGGTAACAAAGGGTAACAAGGGGTAACAAGGGTAACAAGGGGTAACAAGGGGTAACAAGGGTAACAAGGGTAACAAGGGGTAACAAGGGTAACAAAGGGTAACAAGGGGTAACAAGGGTAACAAAGGGTAACAAGGGGTAACAAGGGTAACAAAGGGTAACAAGGGGTAAATAGGGTAACAAGGGGTAAAAAAGGGTAACAAGGGTAACAGGGGTAACAAGGGTAACAAGGGTAACAAAGGGTAACAAGGGGTAACAAGGGTAACAAAGGGTAACAAGGGTAACAAGGGTAACAAAGGGTAACAAGGGTAACAAGGGGTAACAAGGGTAACAAGGGTAACAAGGGTAACAAAGGGTAACAACGGGTAAAAAGAGGTAACAAGGGTAACAAGGGTAACAAGGGTAACAAGGGTAACAAGGGTAACAGGGGTAAAAGGGTAACAAGGGGTAACAAGGGGTAACAAGGGTAACAAGGGGTAACAAGGGGTAACAAGGGTAACAAGGGGTAACAAGGGTAACAAGGGTAACAAGGGTAACAAGGGTAACAAGGGGTAACAAGGGTAACAAGGGTAACAAGGGGTAACAAGGGTAACAAGGGTAACAAGGGGTAACAAGGGTAACAAGGGTAACAAGGGTAACAAGGGTAACAAGGGGTAACAAGGGGTAACAAGGGGTAAAAAGGGTAACAAGGGGTAACAAGGGGTAACAAGGGTAACAAGGGGTAACAAGGGTAACAAGGGGTAACAAGGGTAACAAGGGGTAACAAGGGTAACAAGGGTAACAAGGGTAACAAAGGGTAACAAGGGTAACAAGGGGTAACAAGGGTAACAAGGGGTAACAAGGGGTAACAAGGGTAACAAGGGTAACAAGGAGTAACAAGGGTAACAAGGGTAACAAGGGGTGACAAGGGTAACAAGGGTAACAAGGGGTAACAAGGAGTAACAAGGGTAACAAGGGATAACAAGGGTAAAGAGGGTAACAAGGGTAACAAGGGTAACAAGGGTAACAAGGGGTAGCAAGGTTAACAAGAGGTAACAAGGGGTAACAAGGGTACCTGTCACACATCTTTTTTTTTTTTAATAAAGTGATGTTTCTGCTAAAGATTATGCTAATTTATGACTTGGTTTTTTGACAATCCTCAATGCAGGTTCTACCGTGATAATATTATATTCCCATGGTGAAATCGAACAAAGCTAGTGCTAAGCGAGAATTGTTTCCGCCAGATCCTATGAAATTGATCTTTGATTAGTACCTGTTTTGCCAGAAAAAACTCAGCTTGTCTGTTTGTCACAGAGCCCTGAAGGAACGTTTTTCTAAACAGTAAGATAAGGAAACTAGTGTTACTCAGTAACTTATATCCAGAAGCACAAATTGACAATAAATTATGATAATAAGGATTGCATAAATTTTGAGGAAGGAATTAAATGGAGGGAGGAGGGGGGTACTTGACCAATATTTGTTGTATAGGTGAGCTGCTGAGGGTTTGAATCCGCGACCCTGTTTTTGACAAAAAGATCCTTAAATACATAACCTGTTTAGGAGAAATACACACTGTGTTGTTTTCAAGCCATTTATTGGCAATTCGGATAGAGCAAATTCAGGTTATGGTTATTTTCTTTTGTATACTTGGATTACCAACTAATTTCATCCAGCATATCAAATCAGTTGCGCAGGCAATACCCTGTTTATAATAAGGACAGACTCGCACATACTTATATACCATGTCTAAGACAGAGAGGTCAAAACCCAGACCCTGTCCACCAGCATATCCCATATAGGTCATATAAGCAGGGTTGTCATTAAGAGCCGGGAGCTGGGGATTTTCCCCGGTTACTAAGAGTGTGGGCCCCAGCTACTTTTATTGGAAAATAGAAGAAAAATAGAACCAAAAGAAATCCTTAGCTGTTTGATTCCCCACCTACTTGTTGTATTTATCCGGCAACTTGAAATCTTAGTGACAACCCTGTATAAGGACTGCCCCTCTTGCCCAGGCTGCACATCTATAAAGAAAACAGTTTACTGGGTGAAAGAAAATGTACAATTTAAACCTGGTATTGCTGGAGCCATTTTCTTCCACATCATTTTCCACACTCTGCATGCTAACATCCAAGCTGCTTTCCATCTCATTGTCAGGAACATCTGTTTCACAGTTGTCCAAATACAACTTCAGCTGGTCTACAAAATGGCTGACTTGGCTAAAACTCATCTTGTGAAATGACAATGCCATCCTTCTTGTAAATAAACCTATGTCATGAAAAGAACGTTTATCAGCAAATGAACATTGGATCTTGAATCCCAGGCATTGATCAGAATACAAAATGTAAATTTGTCTTTTGTCCCAATATCTTTCTTGTAGAACTTACTATAGCAAGATGAGAAGTAATTTTTTAAATGGTAAAAAAAAATTTATTTGTGCAGGAAACAATCTGATTGGTGGAAATCAACAATAGCAAACCCACATATCCCGCTGCCTTTTAGTGGGAAGAGTGCAGGATAATTTCCCTGAACAACACCTGGTACGAGCCCAGACCAACACCAGGTGTCTGACTTAAAGGAAGTGTTTGTCTTGAGGAAGTGTCCATTGGCTAACTGCGTGCCATGAAATTGTAACCAATATTAAGATAATAAATGTCTTGTCTCGTCTTTAAATCCTTTAAGCCCTAACATCTACATATAAATTCTCCAGATTGGATATAGATGGATATTGTAAAGAGAAAACCCTTGGCACTAAAAGAGTCAAGACAGAGTTAACTGTACTGTATTACCAGAACCAAAAAAAAGACGGCCAATAAGGCCTCAGACAAAACCAGCCAGTTATTACCTTATAATATTTTTTACTAAAGCCCCTGCCCTTGGGCTTACATCAAGTTTTGGTATGTAATTCATTACAGTAGCATGGGAATACAGTTGTCTCTGACCTTGCTTTTCAACATGAGGGGCATTTTGCAGTAGAGATACCTGTGCCTTAACAAGAGAAATTCCATACTGATGATGTAAATCAGTGTTTACATAATCAATTTTGTAGTCATGAATTGCTAATTTAAATTTGTTCCAGTTATGGTGTTTCTCCAAGTCTATTATTGTAAAATGTTGAGTTCTTTAGTGGATGACTGACAGTGCCCTCTCGAAACTCAAATGCTTCTTCCAAACAAGAATATATTTCAGAAATAATTAATGACTGTTTTGTTGTAATATGACTTCTTGTCTCTTGTCTGCATTTGTAAACAATAGCAAAAAAGACTACAATAACTTCATCAACCAATCAAAACAGGACAGATTTTATGCAATCAGTATGGTATTTCTGTCACTGAGGCTCAGATGTCTCTTCAACGAAACATCCCTAGCGCCGAGGAGTGACCTGAAACAACTGTATTTGCAGGCTACCCTACACTCACAGCTGTATCTTAGACGTACCAAACAAACTTTTCTTATGTAAAGCAGGTTCTTGGCCAGTTAAAAGCTTTTCCAGTGACTGGAAAAATTCAGAAATGCCAGAAACACCATCCTCAGCTAAGCCCTTCAAGCTTAAAAAGAGACACAACACTGATATTAAATATCCATAGATATTTGAATGCAATAAAATAATTATTATCATAATTTTAAAAACATCAAAACAAACAACCTTTTTAGGAGCAGACTTTGCAAGTCAACATCCACAGCCTTGATATGTTTACACATTTCAGACAGTTCAAAATCTGGAGCCTGAAAGAAAATGTTAATTTGCAATTTATCTTTGTATTTCAACAATTTTGTTACTCTTCTAGACAAAAAGGCTCTCTGTAGCTACTTCTTTCCCATACCAAGTGGCTTTAAAATCCTCCCCTTCACACAGGGATAACCTAATCACCTTGCCAGGAGTGGATAACATTTCTGCAATTAAACACAACCCCAGGGGGGTACTTCGGATTTCAAGTGACAGGGAAGTTTGAAGGATCTTTTTTGGGTTTGAAAATTTTGATTTCGGGATTTTTTTGGGTAGGAAAATTTTGGCAGGTATTTTTTGGCTAGCTTGATTTAAGTAGGGATTTTTTTGGGTACTCAAAATAATCTGAAGTTTTGTGATAGTTCCCTTGTATCCCAGCCGCATCGTTCCTCTGACAATTTTGACGGATTAGAAATTCAGCATGGGATTTTTTGGGGACCTTAAATTTTGGTCTAGGGATAATTTGGCTTTTGTTTGAAGCTCTAAGGATTTTTGGGGGTTTTGATTTTTGCTCCCATTCAACATGAACACAATACAAGCGATTATATCAAGCCTGCAGGCAATCTTCCAATCAATTAAAGACCACTATGTAAGGTAAAAACTAACCTCTTAGTATGAGCTACTGTATTTACAGGCATGGTTTTCAATCAGTTTGGTCAGGGATAGAGTACTATCAAATACTATAAATGCTGCAATAAGCTACCGGTGGAGGAGCTTATAGACTGTCATGCCTCGTAAGGGGGGGGGGGATTATTAGTAAGGGCAGTCAGTACATTGGGTGACTAGTATGCTAGAAGCTCACCAGGAATGTAAAAAAAACTGCAAAAGAGGAGGAATTTCTTCCATGAGTGTCTAGGCCTCAAAAATGCGGCCAAAACTGGTCTAAAGTTAAAGTGATATTAGCGTTTAACAGTACCAGCAGCACACAGCCCACACTGAAGACCTTCTTTAGGTACTCACACACTAAAGCAGCATTCACACTTGGTGCCTGGGCATGATGCCTGAGTACAGTATTCACTATGCACTAATGTGAATGCACTCTTTTCTAAAGAACCCATGCTAGAATTTAGGCACCAGTGAGTACAAGGTTGAGATCTTGCACTAGGAAACTTAAGTGGATACCGGGTCCTTGTGTTTATGTTAGTTCTGGGGTAATCCACCACTTTGTACTCAGTGCTGAGCTCACATTTCACAGTGGCATGTGGTAGGGCGAAATGGAGCAAAGATGTACACAGAAACACATCGGGTACCCAAGGTGTGAACACAACATCATTTTGTGCTGGTACCCAGGCAATAGTTCTCGGCCACCAAGTGTGGACAGCCACCTTTACGACTAGTCCAAAAAATAGGCTGCTAACTAGCTAGCTAGGGGTCAAATTAAAACACTCACGCCAAAATGGTGACCATGCTTCTACCCAAGAGAAAAAAAAATGGACGAATTAACAGGAGCATTATTTTCATATGCAAGAAAAATAAATTAAAGTACCACAAACTATCTGTTGTATAAAGCGAAATCAATTAGCTTGCTGCTAAATAAAGGTACCTCGAAAAATTCCAGCAGTAGCAAAGATAATTTATGCCTAGATCTTCTTAAGCAATCTAAATAATCCTCTTGTTCGTCATCTGAAGAGCTGATGTATTTGATGACGATTAAGAGAGATACTTTGTGCGGCGAAAGCCAATCTTTGCGCGATCTGGTCGCCATTTTGTCAGTTTTCGCGTTCGAAGATTACCGCCAACCTCTCTCCCATGCAACGTAATACAACTCCAGGGAGGGTTCCCTTGAAATAAACAGCGGCGTAATCTTACATGAAGAAATACTTCAAATGAGAACTGGATAGAACTGGATAATTGTATGTCGATTAGCAGCATTTAAAAAAGGAATTCAACGTTATCTCCAATTAAATACTGATGCGATTCTAGATGAAAAATTTACTTTTCTCGTTTCACTCCTCCCCCCAGCGCAATATATGAAACCCAGAAGTCCTAGCGGTTTGAAGACATAGACCAAAAAAGATGGCGGCGGATTCTTGGAAAAGAGTTGGTACGTGACAACAAACACAATTTTGTGGCTTTGTACGTCGCTATAACACCATCTTCTTAGCATGATTTTTACGCTTAAGGAAGTCATCAAATGGCTGGGACTATCGATCTTCGAATTATGGCTTCATATCGTGGCACTTTTTGTATTTTCTGTGTTGGTGGCCGTGAAATTGGAAGACGGAGAAATGTCATGGTGGACGGTATTTATTCCGCTCTTTGTTTGTGACGGTTGCGTGGCGTATTTCTCAGCCATTGTGATCATAAGACTTTATTTAGCCGGCGATAAGCGTCTAGCAGCGATGAGGACGTTTTGGAGTTCTGTTGTGATAGCGTTGTTAGTAACTTTTAAGATAACTCTTTGTCAGCGGTTGGAGGGCATTCGAGACTTAGACTACGCTGTGATTCATGTGCCGCTGTTTATTCTGTTAAAACTGTTAGCTGTGCGGGCTTGTCAAGTAGACTACTGACATTAAACGATTCATGAAATATTTACTGGACGGTAAGCTATCAGTATCTATCGACGCTGAGAACACGGATGGCCAAGTCACGTGATACACAGTTGGAAACTAAAAACCCTGGCACATCAGCAGCATTACAAGCCTACAAAGAAGGAATTCAGCGATTTTTACTGGGCCACTTTTGAAAGCACTTGTTAAACTGTTCTTTTTGTTTGTTTGGTTTTTTTTATAGTTTTGTAGCTTTTTTCTCTTCCAGTAGTGCTCGATCACTACAGGAGAGGTCTCTCGATACAGATGAGTTTGGTTATCTGCCTTGTACCCTTTGATCGAGTTGAATAAGGGTAAATATTGTGTAATTACCAAACTTGTATCTGTTTACTGACAGTTAGGTTTCATCCAATTTAAGATTTGAAACAGTTTCAATACTTACTTACTTTCAGTAAACTTTCAAATGCAAGGTTCTTTAAATTTTTACAGATCTTTCAAGGCTGCAAATAATTTTTTTTCCTTTCAAGGTCAACTAAGTCACCTTTTGGATTGGACAAAATATATATTTAGTTGGACATCTCATTATCTGATTGTGATAAAATTTGTCTGCTTTTCTTAATATGCTTTTTTCATAATAATTATGAAGAAGTATAAAAGAGTAGTTATGAGCTGTTAAATTGAGTAATTAAAAGGATCTTGTTATAGATGATTTTAATGCCAGGCATGATGTCTGATTATTCATGGGATGTCGGTAAATTTTGGTCAGCCATTCCCCAATGACCCACTTTTATTTGCAGTCTTGTAGTCTGTGACAATTTAGTGATTGTGGTTCCGTTTAAGAGTAATCCAAAAGTTTCAACAATTTTTTGACAATTTCAGAAAGAAGCAGTTGATTATCCAGGGGGTGGGGACTGGGGAAGCAACACCACATTTGAGTTACATGTGCAGTTATTCAAGGATGAGGTATAGAAATCACAGAATTTTGGTCTAGAATAGAGGTTTATAGTTAGACTAGAGTAGGGTAAAGACTTTTTGACCATGTCTAGTTAAGAATAGGGTAGCAAAATTGCAGATAGAACTAGTCAGGTATGGACTCGACAGTTCCAGGATCCCAACAATACCATATCCCAGTAACTGATATCTGGAGTACCCCCCCTCCACCCCACATCCGCCTCCCCAGATTATCCTAAAGGAATTCATAGATTTAATTAATATGTTCCTGATCTTTTAAAGGCCATTATTTTTAGTTTCGTATTGTGTGATACTGAGTAATGAAAAGTAGCAGTGTTATGTTTGCCTTGACAGTCCCAAGCTAGCTGAAAGCAGGGGATTGTAGGGGCTGATACAACTGGCTCCCATTACATGCTCTAAACATCCTTGAAACAAAAAAGTATATTGTAGATCAGTTCATAATTTCTTCCAATTATAGGTTTTGCATTTATTTTGCAAAGAGAATTGGATCTCAAACTCAGCTATTTAATTCAGATCAAAAGAAACTAGATAAACCTTTTTTTTTCTTAATTTCCTTTCCAAGCACATCTGTAGATAATACATCTTTTGTTCCATGTCAAATAGTTGGTAAGAAAAATCTTTAACTAATTTTTTCTTGAGTTCAATGAGTTTTTGGTAAAGCATAAAACAAAACCTTTGTGGTTCAGGTTCTCCTCCAAATATGCACCTGTACGGAACTTAGTTTTGTATATGATAGCCATGATTACAATAATAGACCTTTTTGACTTGTATGCCTTATTTCGCCAATGCAGGTCATGTAAAGAACTGTTTCTTTCACATTTCATTTCACTGACATTCAAATGTATATGTTGCAGTTAATTTTTTGTCTCAGGTAATTTTTATTTTTCCATTGTGTTTTGGGCATGGTAGTGTATGCTAATGAATTTACAACAAACGAAAAACAAAAATTAATTAAAATAACAAATTAACTGCAACATACACATAATTTATGACACAACAAATCAAGTTCCCTTAAAAACATCGCATGACTCACATTGGAAAAGCAAAACACTCAAACTAAAGAGGTCTATTTTTTGACAAACAAAAAAGTAGCATTGTACTACTAGCAAGCCCAAATTTAAATGTTACAGTTATAGAAACTTTCCCTTAAATTAAGTTGCAGGATCATTATCATACATAGAAGAAGTTTAAAAACCTTTGGTGTGTGTGTCGTCATGGTATAAAGCAATGAAGATTTGTAAAATAATTATCTGAAATATGTAGTTTGTGTACATAGCCTTTGAAGCCCCATTAGAAGAATATATACAATTAAGAAAAAAGTCGTCCTGTTTTTTGAAACAATGTTTTAAAAAGAAAAGAAAATCGCATGCTCTGCTTGTTAAGGACTTAAGGTGGCTCAATGGAGATTTTTGGGGTCCATTCCTTACGTCTTTGAGCATTAGCTACCTAGTAATTAACAAAGATTTGGAAAAGTTACTACCACAGCTGTATTAGACAAAGATGAAAATTTGTTATGATCAGGGTTACAATGACATCAGAGTTGCCATAGCAACGAAATGACCCCATTATCTACTTTACTTGCAGCCGTGTTTCTCGGCACTAATGTTGGCGACGTTTCAGTGAGATCTCTAAGAGCATTCTGGAGATATTTTGGGATGAAGTTTTAATGGTTGGAAATTCAATGTAAAACTGGACAATCTCAGTGATGTTCAGCCGTTATCTATAGAAAACGAAGCGCTTTTGAAATGCAATTTTACCTTAAAATAGTTTCATTCACTCTTGAAACGGGTTTGAAAAGATCATGGGGCTAGCTTTAGCCGATCGCAAGAAAGAGGGATTTGAATCACAAATTGCGGTGCTCTTGTTTGCGTTCTTGTAAATATTTTGGTCTACTTCACAGACTTCAACAAATGGACGAATAATTTAAAATTAAGATTCTCGAGATTAACCCTTGTTTTATAGCACGTTTGAGCCAGTCAAGGTTATGCTTGTGGCATGGTCAATCTTTTTATTATTATTATTTCTTCATGGAGTAGTTTCCTTTCCCTGCCCACACTGGGTTAGATCAGCAAATAGTTTCCAGAGTAACAATATCAAACAATAAGTATCGACGTATCTTTCTCCACTCCACTGATATAACTGACTTTGTAACGGGTACGTAAGTACTTGCGCTTTACGACCTTGACCGCGTTGCTATAACTTCCATTGTTGGCAGCATCTTGTAGGTCAGTTTCCTGGATTAGTACTTGCCCCGGGGCTATATACTCCTAGGAATTCTTGGTGGGGTTGTGGCGACATTTTGCTAAATCTCATGAGCTTACGCCATTTTTCACATCCTGAAGCCCACCGTTTTTCGATAGTCCAGGTCCCGAAAGCTTGCTCGCAGGCTACAGATAATAAGATTAAACCTGATAAAAATGTACTGGGTTTTTTAACTAGAACCTGCTGTTTGGTTTTTCAGATATATCTCTTTTTTTATGAATTGTTGATGTCAAGTCACCGGTACTTTCGAGTAGACGACCCCTGGCCTCTAAAATAATCCATTACTCGGTTTGCGAACCCCGGCATTGACTCCTGTCCAAGTAAAAATATTGCCGGTTTAGGCATTTTTTTTTCTATTATAATTAAACAGCATTTGGAGCTAAAAAGTCAAATTTGCTTAATTATGCCTTCAAGTTGTGGTTTCCTTAAAAACTATACCTGATTTTAGACCATAATGAGCAAATTCTATACAAGTTTAAAGTCCAAAACCCGCTTTGAGGCAGCACATGCCGATGTGGAGTTGACATAGCACGTAGGGGGAGTATCTGTACAGGATGCTATTAAAAACGGAAGTTGTAGCAGCAGCGGTCAAGGTCTTACTTTAAGGCGTAAATGGCACCTTTTTAGTAGCATAGATCAGATTCCGATTCGTACGATTATAAAACTATAAAAGAAATCAACTTATAAGATAAACAGATAACGCCTCGGTCAGTCAAGTGCTACAACATCGCTAATAAGGTATCGATCCCTAAAGAGGACAGAAATGTAAGTGTTTACACTTAACTAATAATAACACTTAGACTTTTGTTTGATTTTATTAATATTTCACTATGAGTTCGGTTTGGTTTTATTGAGTAAACGTATCCTGCGAGCAGAGCTTCTTTTTGACTTCTTGAGTGAGGGCCAAGTGAAAGAAAAGGCTGTACTAGCAGGGTGGAGTAAACTAAGCTTGATCTATGTTTAAACCCAGTTATGGAGATTTACGTACGCCCATTTACAGGCGTTTTCTGCACCCATCGTTCCAAGGCCCAAGCCGGTTCGATAAGCTTTCTCCACTCCCCCAAGTAAACAGTCTATCTCGATGACTGGGGCTCTTGTCGAGTTGTGCCCTAAATCGCCTATACACTGTACACTGTGCCATGTGCCGGAGCCCCACAAAGGCCAGCTTTCAAACAACTTATACAAGCTTGCTTCTTTACCGTCTTCGAGTCTACCCTAAAGGGTTTTGTTAGATAGGGGTGCGTCCTTCTGCGAACCAGGCCAATTTTAGGAGGAATTTGATCTTTGGTAAGAGAGAGCATGTTTCATCTTGTTCTTTCTGAACATGCCAACCAACCACAGTAATTTCACAAATGTAGTTTTTGTGACGGTCATCACTTTTCAATCCTCTTTATTCAGAGCAGTGGCGGATTCAGACCTTGAAATAAGGAGAGGAGGGGGGACAAGAGGGGGGCGATCTACCAAAAGTCTTTTCCGGCCCTTCGCGCCTTATTTTGGTCTAAAAATAAGGGGGTGGGGGCGGGGAAGGGGGACCCTGAATCCGCCACTGCAGGGGCCCGTATCTCGAACGTCCCTTAACTTTTAGGGCCCGGAAAGCTGTTTTATGTTTGCTGTTTTTGCATTCAAGATCAAAGTTTCAATAATTTTAAAATGATACAATGATAGTCAGTCAGTAAACGAAGCAAAATAAAATTGACCGATTTGTGAGCTAGGAAGTGTGCTACGATTCAACAGTTTTTGATTTTAAAATTTGCCTTCCAGCATGCATACGAAAAGTTACCGGGCCTTTCGAGAAATAGCCTGCGTAGCAAGTGTTTCCGTTTGTTTCAGAGCAAACAAAGACCGAGGAACGCGATTTTCGGTTTTGGCCGCGCGAAAAATGGAACGAGAGCGATAAAATAAGAGGGCCTTTCTTGTTTTTCTTTTCTTTTTCCGCGCGACCGTCGCGCGGTTTTTGACTCTCGCGTTCCTCGTTCTTTGCTCCGAAACCGCACGGAAACGCTTGTTATCTAGGCTATTTGAGAAACGAGCCGTCTTTAGTAGAGGATTGGTAAATTCCTTGCGGGAACCACTGGGCGCTTTCCATTTACGAAAAAGACCCGGAAATTTCGGTGGTAGCAAAAGTGGAATTTCCGATTGGTAAAAAGTTGTTCCATTTGGTCGTAAACCCCGGTACGTGGCGGTGCCCGACCGTGGACCTGGAACTGGTACAAACTTCGAGAAGCGTAAATGGAACACGACATTCCGTTCGGAAATTTCAACCGGGAAAACGGGACCACCTTTTTAGATTTTCCACTTTTTCTGGGAATTTTCCAGTGGGACGAACCGACGAAACGTGTTCCATTTACCGCCGAACAGGAAATTTCGGAAATTTTGATTAAATGGAAAGCGCCCACTGTTTCAGAACGTTTGCATAAATAAAGCTCCTTACCTTATTCACCGAAAACAGACTCGAAAGACTGAAAAATTAGAATGTTCAAATGCAGATTTGACGAATTACGTAGAGGGGCCGGGGTGGGGGGAGTAGAAATTCCCTTTTAAACAGAGTTCCGACCGGGAAAACACTACAAAAGTTGTTCCATTCACGTTGGCTAAAACTCACTTGGCCTGCGACCAAGCTCTCCACTGATTTGGGAGAGTCGCGAGAAGACACGCGAGAGCAGCACGCGAAAGGAGACGGTTTTGCCGCTCGGTCGCGCGTTCTCCCACGGCTTGCTTCGCTCATACATGGAGCTAATGTACTTTTCAGCGGCCATCCCGAGGTGGGGGGTGTCCCCGGGGAACCCCCGGTCATTTGCAAAACGACGTTTACAAATCCCCCCTACCCAAAACCAAGATTGTTTAACAAAAAGCTACTAACGCCCCTCCGCGGGGGGCAGAGAAGTGTGCTCTGCCAAGTCAAAGGGTGCAATATTTCAAGAGTTCTATTTGTCATAAATAATTTTCTATTTACCATAATTATACATATAACAGTTAATTAAAAATAAGCAAAGAAAGCTATTCCACCATGACGAGGTTCTGCTTACCTTAAGTCGTGGAATGAGAAAGGAGAATATTCTTGTTTCCTGGTAATGAGGAACTAGGATTCCTTGAATATATTTTGAAATGCTTTATATTATAAATATTTATAGATATTTACAAATCTCGCGGGTCTTCCCCCGCAATCCCTGCGTATCTCCCCGGGGTTACTCCCCCGGGATGGCCGCTGATAAGTGCCGCAAACTCACTGGGACAGCCTTAAAGATTCAGTATTAAATTTCGTTTGTTTCGGAAATTTCACAATGGAACGACCAGGAGCCCATAAACAAAAAGTCGTGTTCCATAATTTACTTTCTCGATTATTGAAACTTTTAACCAGGAGGTCAGTCGCCAGGTTATTTTGATCAACTAGACGACAACTGCAGTGTAAGCAGGATAGGCTCCTGACTATAAAAAGTCGTTTTCTCTTTTCACCTTCCTAATTTTTTTTCTGGCTTTTCAAGGCTCCTGGCCAGTGCGATCATGTATTCCTTATATATCTTTTTTGTGTCTTTCGTTCTCCCCCCCCCCCCCCCCCCCCCCTCCACTTCTAGAACTGAAAAAGTAACAAAACAACTAAAAAATAACAAAAAATAAAACATAAAAAAAATCGCCTGCTCGCAAGAGGAAACAAGACAAAAAAATGAACGAAAACAAAAACAAAAACGGAAAACCCCATTCACGTTTACTCTTTCATGGCTCCCTGCGACAAATGCGTAAGAAACGAAAAATGTTGTTGGAACGTGAAAGAATTGTTTTGTCAAAAACGTGACACCTGGAATGGACCAAAGAACGTGACGATTGTCACATTACCTTTTATTTTGAGAATCTTTCTCAAAGAAATTAAAAAAATAGTTGTAATAAAAGAAAAACATTAATGAGATGCAAGAAAATATCATTTTTATCGCATTGCATCTTTTTTTTGTTGATTGAGAGTACTTAACTTCAAAAACCTTAAAGAAAAATCCTGTCAGGCTGATAAGGCCCTGTTGACAAAAACCGATTTGAAAAACAATAGCTATTGTGATAGTTACCCAATCAGAAGCCGATAAAGTGTCACCGGCGCGCTTTTACCTCACGTGGTCGAACTACCAGCAGCGCCATTGCAATGCAGTTGTTTGTATTGTAGAAGTTTCCTGCTTTCAGTGCAGTCGTTCGAACGGTCAAATGTTGTTGAGTTGAGCGCTGAAAGCGTTCTGCTGTGGGGCAAAGGCACTCTGTGAAGCTTTAAACTTAAATAAGGTGTTCTCTAACGACGCAGCTGCTCAAACTCTTGTGTACTTATGGTTGTCATCGCTATCCGTTCGATTCGTACATGATATAGCGACATGAAATCATCATCGCAAACGACGGTAAGAAACTATTATCACGATTTTCCATCACATAATTTTTTCTCAGGTCGTTTTCGGTTCGGAAATATCAACTCTTAAAAGTTTAACATATTAGTTTAGTGATGCATGTTTCGGCAGTTTGTTTGTTTTCGATGAACTCCTGTCGTCTTGTAAATTTCAATTTTTTTTTTTCCGTTCATCCGTTTTTAAGCTTACATGCGATTAAAAAGACCTGCAGTTGGTAAACGGGTCCTTCATGTGACTTGTCATTCTCTCATGAATTGGCTGAAAATTTATATCTGTATTTTTATTCGCGTTTTTGACGTAATCTTCTTGGGAAATGATCAATTGCGAAATTGACAAAGGTACGAAATTCTAAGATTTCGTTTCATCAGTGTGGAAGTCCTATCTTCAAATATCTTATCTTTCTTTTTCTCTAGAACCGTGACAAAATGGGCAAAACCCGATGCTTGACGGCTGCTGGGCGTTTATCGTTCCAAGACGATGTTCATATCCGAAAAGTGCTGGAAGCCCTCAACGAGCAACGGGAAAGCGAGCGCTTCTGTGATGCAGTTGTGAAAGTTGGTGGCAGGGAGATGAAATGTCATCGCTCTATTTTGGCCGCTGCAATTCCTAAACTGCTAGAAAATCAAAGCGAGACAGAGGAGACCGTTTTAACAGTGGTCCTGGAAGGTTTGGATTCTACTGCAGTGGAAGTATTGATCGAGTTCGCGTACACCGCTCAGCTTAACGTGTCTGCGGAAAGTGTTCTCGGCGTTTATCACGCATCGAAATTTCTAGGCATGAAAGACGTTCAAGACTCTTGCGAGCAGTTCATTGAAGAGAAAATTCTTCCCTTAGATTGGAGGACTGTGAGAAGCTTCGCCGAGCAACAAAGATGCGCTAATTTGCTGACCGCAGTCGATAAGTTCATCGAAAAACACGTGGAGGAAATTTATCACAACAAAGATTTCTTCCAGTTGCCGCGTCTTCAAGTCGAACTCGCCACCACTCGAAAGAGACAGAACGAGAGCATCGATTCCGAGAAGCTCTGTAATGTGGCCATAAAGTGGGCTCATAAACAACTGGAGGTGAGGAACTTAAAAAAGCCATAGTTTAGCAGTTGATTATTTTTCTTGCACCTCCATGCTACGGGATATACGCCCCCAGAAAATAAGCCCCCACAGCGCGCGCGCACTTTTGAAATTTTGAGTTATCGAACAGACTTTCCCATATTTCGATAGGTTGGAAATTTTAAGTTTTAAAGTTTTTTTTTTTGTGGGGGTTTCAAGTTTGCTTTGTAAAGTCAGAACAGTAAATAATACTTATACGTGGTGCATTCTATGATAGTTTCGCCGGAAAGCGTTTTTTTCCGCGCGGGAAGTTTAGTGATATCAGACTTTCTATATTACATACCGGAAGCAAACAGGGTGCACAAAATACGTGACTCGATTTTCGTTCCTTTACTCGAACGAGGTGAAACCTCATTTTTTTACAAATATTCAGCAAGTTGGATTATCTTCTGTCATTAGTTAGACGACCTATTGTTTTCTGCAAACAATTAGATTGTTGAAGTTTTGTACTTGTCTTTCATTTTTTTGTGGAAAACAACGTGAATAATTTTCAGAAAGTGCTCCTAGACAACTAATTTTTGTAACATTTTTTAGTTTAGGCGTATTATTCCCTTTTCTTTGAACCCTTTTCATGTTGCTTAGAATGCCCTGACATCTAATTTACATTATAGCAAGACATAAGTCTTCTCTATTGTGATGGGAAGCAATATGTTCGTGAAAATTGTTTTTCCAGTCTGTTTAATATTTATGTCACTTTTCACTATTTCATTGACTTGTATCATAATTTGAAACCTTGCCTGGCTAATTATGGACCATTTCACCTACAAATACAAAGTAGCAATTCAAATGTTTTATTCATAAAACCCTGTCTTTCAAATGTGAGAAAGTTCTGAAAATTTTTGCTCCATGTTTACATAAATCCAACTGGTCAACATACCTACATGGTGGACTCGAAAATATTCTCTACTTACCCCATCTCACATTGTGCAATGTTTTAGTTTTCTGGTGAGAACTCAGTGGACCTGACATCTAATTATTGTGTTCTTGTGACAGATAAGTAATTGGAATATTTTTTATCAGCTTCATTTTCACCTCTGTCATCTTGTTAATAAAGGTAGCCTTCTTTGTAGTAAATTATGTAAATGATTCCATTTGTTTCAAAACTGTTCTTTTCTTAGCTGCACTCTATAAAATGGAAACATTTCAAGGTTAACAGTTATGTCTGGGCCCTGTCAATGTATTTTATTGATAACAAGCTGGAAAAATTTTATTATCTGTCATGCTTGAGACATTCCTGATGAGGTACTCTATACTAGAGGAACTGTTATTTAAGTCAATTATTATTTTTATTTGGTTACTTTTACAGGAAGGGAATATAAGCTTAACAGTGTTACTGGAAAAAACCCACATCATGTTCCTCACTTCCGATGGCGAGCTGAAAGAGTGTACCATGGAAGATCTTTACTCAAATGATGAAAAGTCTGAACTAATCACAACAGAAGCGCAGAGGGAGTACATCCGATATACATGTACTTCACAGGAACAGCTGTCCAAACATGAGGCAAACAGCAGTGAAGACGAGGAGGAATTGATAGTTCTTCTTGAAAACAATAATAACAAGAAGAGGCAGTCTTGGATAGTGGAGAAGGATTTCCGTTTGATTGGTGCTGTCCAGACTAGTGACAATGGCTGTACGGGATTGGCAGTTGTCGGAGGATTGTTGGTGGCGATATCAATACATTCGCAAACCCAGTACTGCTCCAATAGCTCAGACTCTGGAGACTCGTCATCCGGAGAAGAGTGGGTTCTGATAGCCCCAATGAACAGAGGTGTGTACAAGCTTCTAATCCTAAGAGTTTCCCTGGGCAATGTATATGCATTATTGTCCAAGTGTGAGGTCAAGATGCTGGATATTGGCCAAGTTCTTTGTATTTGGCCATCTTGAGCGAACAAGCTAGGTCAATAAAGGATTTATTATATGGCCAAAAAGAGAACTTTTACTTGTGGGACCAATGCAGGAAATCCTGAGGGGGCAAAAACGGCCCATCCTGCCAGCTCGGGTAGCCAATCAGAATGCAGGATTTGCATCATCTTGCATGGTTGCAGATTCAGCAATGTAATATTAAATAATTAAGTTTATTGTACATTGTACTCATTATCTATCTTCGCATCAAGTAACAGCCTTCAGTTTATTTTGGAAATGATTAATCATTGCAACCTACAGGTTAGTTAGTTATCTGTTAGCAGATAACTGACTCTGTAGGTTGCATGCAAAATGTATGATTTTTAAGTTCAATGTCAAACTGCTTTTGTGTGTTGTCATTTTCTTCATAACAATGTATAATATTATTAAGTTTGGATTTTGTGATATCGGGACTGATATAAAGGTCTCAGTAAGTGTTGTCAACTCCAAGCAAATCACTTTCCTTGACCTTGTTTATTCTGGATTTCTCAAAAACCTCGTCCAATAGTTGTTTCATCACACCATCAAGGCTGTGCTCTAAGGAAAATTGAAGGGAGCCCAGTGCTCTGAAACTGTAAAATCTAGGGTGTCCAGCATATGATTTGAATGAAAAATCTAAGATTTTCTAGTCACCCAAAAGCAAAAGTTAGGCGCCAGGGGCCACCAGGCTCTGCTAGAGCACAGCCTTGCACCATAGGACTCAAAAGTGAGAACTACATACAGAACAAGTAGTACCATGTCAAAGGCTTCCTGAAGAGTTAATAGCCAAACCATGCATGCAGGATTTCTGCTGCAACACCAAATTTTAGCATTATGTCAAGTTTCTCTGCAATAGGAAAAAATTTGTTTCAAAGACTCTGCTGTACCTGTTGATGTGGTCTGTATTGATCCTATGACTGGCCACTTTGAAAAGCCTAAGATTTAACTCCTGCAAGTGATCAACATCAATTTTCTCCTTACGAAATTGATACATAATCAAGATAAAAGGTGATGAGAACTAATAAAATGGTCATCTAAGGGAAAATGATTGACTCTTTTATGAAATTCTGTCAACTCATTCTTTAGCAAAACATATGGAGATCAGTCTGGAGAATTTGTATGTGGATCTTAGAGCTTAAAAAATTAAGAGCTCTTTTTTTTCTCTGACATTTCCAGGTCGCTGTAGCGTTGGAGCTGTAAATCTCAATGGAAAACTGTATGCAATTGGTGGCTATGACCGAGGTGACTGCCTGAACACTGTGGAACTGTATGATGCACAGGTCAACGAGTGGATGCCTGTCACAAACCTGAATTCTTCCAGAGGAAGGTTGGAGTCTGAAGTTGTAAACGGCAAGGTGTATGCCATTGGTGGCTCAAATGGACACACGGAACTCAGTACAGTCGAAACATATGATGAAACTACAAACACCTGGAGTTTTGCACCATCCATGCTGCAGTGCCGTTGCAACTTTGGAACTGGGGTAATCAATGGACGCATCTATGCTGTTGGGGGCTATGAAGGTCCCCGGAACCTGAAAAGTGTTGAAATGTATGATCCTGTGACAAAAGAGTGGAGAAGAGTTGCACCCATGAACACTGAAAGAAACAACTTGTGCGTGGAAGCTTTGGATGGCAAGCTATATGCCGTTGGGGGCTACAATGGATGGACATGTTTCAATACTGTGGAATGCTATGACCCTGAAGAAAATCTTTGGTCTTTGATTCCACCAATGAAGATTGCCCGCCGCGGTGCTGGTGCTGCCGTCCTTCACGGCAAGTTGTATGTGATTGGTGGTTATGATGGGACAAACTTCCTTAACAGTGTTGAGTGCTATGATCCCTCCACAAATGAATGGAAACACGTGGCCAGTCTTAATACCTCTCGTCACAATGTAACGGCAGTTGTCATCGGTGACCACATTTATGCAGTGGGTGGGTTCGGTGGCACTTCATTCTTGAACTCCCTTGAATGCTATGACCCCAAGAGTGACAAGTGGTACTGTTTTGTAAATTGCAAACATTGAAGAAACTATTGTGAAGCTTCCCTGTACATTTAGAGTGATCGTGGTGCCATTCAGATTTTTCTTTTTGAGAACAGCAGCTCTGTTGTTGGCTGTTTTGTGAAAGAGTGCCATAAATGGTAATGATGATTATTTATAACTTATTTAAATTTTTAAGTTCTTAAAAAACGTATTTGAATCATTGAAGGACCTGGTTGGAAAATGGGGTAGAGTACAATCCATTCTGCCTTCTATTTGGTTTAAAATTGACCAACAAATTGTTATTGAAGAGAATTAATTCTGTTAACTATTTTTAAGGAAAAAAGCTCTTGAATTAGCTAAGCGTGCTAAATGAAGTCAGAGATTGAAATTTCAGCTCTGACTTACCACCAAGGAAATATTGTTATTTTTCTTGTTTGGCTTGATGTGGTATAAGTTTATGTTAAGGTAATACATCTGTTCTTCATTTGGCATATTTTTCTTTGGAAATATTTACAGACTTGCCTTTTTTCTTTGATGTCTGGTCAGTAACTATGCTAAATGTTGATTTTGGTGAATTTTTTTAGCAAAATTGCAAGTAAAATTTCAAATGGCAATACCATCCAACCAGACTATCTCCTTCAAGAAAAATACAATGTAAAGATGACAAACAGGGCCAAGTTCTTTGAGGGACAATTAGTGCAAATCTTGGGCTAGCAATTACCTTGAAAACTCTTTTGTTCCATTTGCAGTTAGCCCGGGATTTTAGCTTACCTGCTTCAAACACCTTAGCCCAGAAGTTTAATGATTATTTAATGATTAATTTATTAAGTGGAAAAGCAGTAGATGAACTTAACTTTTAACTTAATTTTTCTACAATTTTTTATTGGCATTCCAAGATTTTGTTCCAGTTCAATTTTTTATGTACTGTGGTAATAAAATCTTTTAATCTTAATTAAGGGAATGTGAAAACCGAGGAAACCATACTATTGCATCCGTTACATATACGTTCATTTCTTTGGTTGGAGCAAGACAGCTGAGTCTGCTTGCTGCTGATTAGGCAAACAAACAAGAAACGAGACAAAAAAACCTTCAACGTTGTAGTTGAACAGCCTCTGAATGTTGTTTCTGCCAAAGCCATTTTATCAACTTAATCTTTTTTCAACTCACTACATTTTTTTATGGTACCATTGATGATAATATACAAATCAAGACCTTTTCTCCTTGTTGGTCAGTCCTTATTTTTTTGAAAACGCAGAGATTTTTTGTAAGGAGAAGTTCATCACTGCCCATTTGTTTGAGCCTGTGAGATTAGAGGTTCTATTTTATCAGAGTTCTCATTTTTTCTTCACTTAAGATAATAAAAGTAAAGTGTGTGAGATTGTTTCTAAATATTGTTGTTGAAAATACATTAAGTGTGAGGTTACATTAAATTATTTAAGATACTTTTTACAATTTTCTTTGATTGACCTATAGAACTCCACCAGAAGAATGACAATAAAATTCTCATATTTTAATCAGAAAGTACAAATATTTAAGGGCAGGTGGAGTAATGCTTTAAGAAGTGAGCCCTGCTGTATATTATTTTGTAGCTAATTTTTTATTTTAGTTAGTTTTTGGATAAATTATGGTAATGGTGCTAATCAATTTGAAACAAGGGAAAAAGAAAAATTAACTGAAATAAAAAATTAACTACAACTTATACATACACGATGAACAAATCTTTCATTTAGTTACCACTGTGTGCGAGATTAAAATATGGCAATAAATGTGGTGCTGTGAGCAGATGTTTTTATTTGTGTGAGTGGACTGAGTACAACAGCATAAAGCAAGCAAAAGAAAGGTTCCCCTAGCTGGGTTAGCCTGTTCCAGGAGCTCACACAGTAGAGTGCATGAGAAAAATTCACGAAGAAAAAAAACGAGGGGAGAGCCCCCTCCTCCAAATGCAAAAAGCCCCCATTAAATTAATAGCCCAAATTTCCTTCCATACAAATAGAAGCCGCTCAAAAGGGGGCTTTAAAAAATAAACCCTGGGGTTTATTTTTGGAAGGATCATAATATGGCATTTTTTTCAGTAGGCTCTAAATCACTTTCAAGTTAAGAATAAATTATGATGTTGCAAACTTATCCACCATTTACTTGGTTACCAACTTTTTAAGGAAAAATTGGACTGAAAGATAACATACAGCTCACACAATAAAAGGTATCCTCAAATTTAAACACTTCTAAAACCACAAAGTTATTCAAAACAAAATGTTTATTGCTTTGTACTAGTTAATACCCTTGCCAAAGTAACTGATCAGAAATAACAAAAACTACATATTACACATAGCAGATACTGCAAAATCAGGATCATGTTAAACTTTCCAACTTTACGAGCTCATGTTAAGTTTACTGTAAAGTCATCATATAAACAATGCTTCCTTGAGTTGCCATCCTTTTATAAGAATACGTAGTTTACTTTTACTTGTGAAAAATAATCTTACAGGTTTTCATGAAGGAGTTGTGAGTAAGCAAAGGGTTAGTTATGCAGAGACAAGTAAAAAAATAACACAGACATTAAGAATAAACGTTTTGGTGTCATCTTGAAAATGGCGTCAAGATGACACCGAAATGTCATTCATCCTTATCCGCGTTATTTTTTACTTGAGTTGTGAATAGTTCCGAGAAAATAGTTTTTGCAAAGAAAAAGGCTCTACAGATGCAGTTTGAAAAAAAATAGCATCAAACAGCATTAGTTTGCAACAACCTTAACAGCTACTAGGTTAAAGAGATTGTAATGGCTAACTTTGATGCCTGTAGTGTAGACAAGGTGACAATAAATATTTCAATTAAACTTAATATAACTTTTCAGATCAATCCTTTTCTTGTATCACATGGAAGTCCTTTACACAGCATTTTCTCCAACTTCACACACCAGTAAAAGGTTTCAGGTGAAGCCTTCATTATATTGTGAAAAGTTTCCACTTTTGACTGTCATTCCCCTCTTGATGTTTATCTCAGTCTCTCAAGTAGAAATTCTTCGACACTGTCCGTATTCCATTTTTCAATACTAAAAGAAAGAATACATTGTGTGAATGATAAATTATCTGTAGCCCGGTTTGCACATGATTGCTGTGACTGTATTTTATGGTCACCAAAAAAGTCAACTAATCTGAGCAAGACAAGACAAGGACTTTATTTCTAAACGATGCACAGAAAAAAATGAGGAAAAAGACAACACTACTTACAAAGATAAGGTAAAAAGCCACCTATACAATAGCTAAAATTCTAATCTAGGCAGGAGGCTAAGCTCCCTAAGCTGCAAAAGACTACCTACAAAAGTTGCAACCTACAAAGGTAGCTCAAATGGGGCTTTTACAATAACTGAGTGATTTCTCGTGCACTGATTGGTCAAGAGCTATGGTCAATAAGAGTATAGGCCATGGAAATGACCTGGTAGTGGCCAAATATGATTTCCTCATTGTGGCATGTGCAATTTTTTAATGGACCAGAAAAAATTGTCAATGTTATAGTATTTTATAGAAAACAAATCAACAATTTTCCATGGTCTGTACATTTAGGAATGAAGTCAAAATGTTTAAAATTTTGCAGTGAAACCACTCGCCTGCAGCTTGTGGTCCTGCTTGAGTTTTGAACATTTTGACCACATTTTTATGGTTGATCATGGAAAACTGTTGTCCACTTGCTAATTTGTCACAGTAGCTGTAAATTGAGCTGTCTGTTTATCAAGTGTGCATAGGAGGGCACGGACAACTACTATCAATACTACACTTACATTGATGAGGCTTTCTTCATCAAAAAGAAGTTTAGTGAGAACCTGTACACTCACCTTAACTCCTCTTGAACCTCATTGTTTTCATCATGAAGCTTAAGAATTGGATCGGCCCCTCGAACAAACTGCAAGGAGAGAATGACACTTTGTGTACATGTTCATACATGCAAAAGGATAATAAGAATAACTATGGATTTAGATACGACATTGCAGGTCGCTGAAAAATTGATAAAATTACCTACTAGCACCAACTGCAGTGGGAATAAAAATAACTGACCATGATCGAGGGATGGACAACTTACGTTTATCCTTAGATTAGGAAACTTGGCAGGCCTATCACTCCGGACAAAGGCTGTTACAAACAAAATATAACATATCAGAACTGATGCAACACCATTTAGAACATCAAGAGAAACAATATATTTCACTGAATAAAATATTTTGAGGCTAAAAAGCCCTCTTTACAAAATTGCTAATACAGTTGAACCTTCGGTCGTTGCTTCTCTCCCACCAAAAATAGTTAATTTTCGGAGGGAGAGAAGCGATGACTGGAAATATGTCTGCGCTTCACAGGCTATTGAACCTTCACCAACAGCCACCCCTCCACAATGGCCACCTCTCTACAATGGCCACTTTTTTGTCCTGACGGACAGTCCATACATTGACTCTTGTTTAATCCTATCTACAATGGCAATGGCCAATAAAGTGTGTCCACAACTGCCAAAATAACCGCTCGACAATGGCCAATTTTTTCAACTACTGATGAAAAAGTGAAGAATGGTCGTGAAATTTGATCCATATAGCGCGTTGACGATCAATCGCAACAGTCTTACTTTGATTGTGTTCCATTTATACTGCTGCAGTGAGCTAAATTGTCTACAATACTTATAGTGAATGCTGCGAACCGTGCTCATTTTGTCATGTTAACATTTTGATTCAAACCTTTATTCATTATAAAGCTTTTTGTGTATTTTTATCTTTTTATAATAATATTATAGATACATAATGGGATACAGTAAGCAAGAACTCAGCTGGATACACATGTTGTACTCCCCCCAAAAAAATTGTCATATTTGACTCCTACCTCCCCATAAAGGCCACCTCTCCACATTGGCCACTTTCTTCTGTCCCCAAAGTGGCCATTGTGGAGAGGTTTGACTGTGAAAAAAAGAGGGAAGGACTCCCTCCCAACACCACCCCCCCCCCTCCATACCCTGACTTTTTCAGGGTCATTTCTAGGCCAGGATAATTTGAATAAAACTGCCTCTTTCATCTGGTCCCTGATTTAAACAGGCACCCCACACTGAGAAGTCTCTTAGGTATTTTTGTATAACAGTGGGATTTTGTTGAGATATAAAATCTTATAAAATTAATATCTTATGTGGGGCCCAGTATCCTCAGTTGGTAAAAATTGTGTGCCTCTGTGCTTCCTGTAAGCAGGCCCCTATGCTGTGACCATTTTGGACAACATGGGGACTAGAAAAAATCATGGCAAATAACATGGTGAAAGTTGTTACCAGTAATTTGGCAACCTGTGTTTGAAAGTCATGTGCCAAGCCACAAAGTTTTAATATATATGTTTAATAATAATTAGTGTTTTTTCTACAGTTAGGAGGCTGCTTGCAGGTTCAGCATGGGAGGTCGCAAGTTTCATCCCCACGGCCAGACCAATACTCAGTCAGGGTGTGAAGGTACCTACTTTGCCCTGCAAACAGCTAGACATTTGCTGTCTCCAGTAGGAGATGTAAAAAATTATGGTGCCCTGAATTAGTACTGTCGTGCTGCATGTAAATACATGCGTTAGCACCCAAATAAAGCACATTTTTTATGTGTGACTATTAAAAAAGTTGAGAAAGTATACCAGTCACTAGTCTGACTGATTGACATAAATTACTAGAGAGGCTGTTCAAGAAGTGATATGTAACATTTGAGGCCAAGGATAAAACCCTGCTATGAAGACCATGTTTTGTAATTTCTTTGCCATAACTTAACTCTTGACCCCGCCTTTAAAATTCTAAAGAAGCACAAAGACTTTCAATCAGCAAAAGTTGCCAGAAACAGGCCTGTGTTCCTTACCCTGTATTTGAGGGAACCTTCCCAACTTTCAGTTACACACTTCAAGGGTACCAAAGGCATACTTCTGAATAACAAAAAATATGATAATATTAGACCTCAGAACCAAAAATACTGGTTTTAGAATATATTTTAATATTATTGCATTTGCAGAGACATATTTGTTATAACTCAGAGCAATATGAATATAAAAATTAATAAAAAATGATTAAAATGAGAATCATATTTATTTATTAGTGTTGTTTATGAGGTCTTGATTAACATCAGATAATGCTATTACAAACAATAAATGATGGACAGGCATGAGTACAGAAATAAAAAATCACACATCACTGCTGGAAGTGGCATGGCAATGAATGAAAACTGCTAAAGTGTTGATTGGAGACAGGACGTTTGCCCAGCTCTTTTTTCATCCCCACTGTGGGGCATTTGGCAGCTCAAGTCTTGTCACTGTCACCCCTGGGAATTTTTCATCCAAAACAAAAGTAAAGCTACTAGGGAGCTTTTGTTACAATGACTATGAAGGCAACATGAATGTCAAAAAACCAATAGGTTTGAATAAGCAACACAACAATTTTGCATGTGCCGCATGCTTTCTGGTACAAACTTTATTTTGGGTGCGGTCCCCCAGGAAATTCACCCACATTCGACATTAACCCACTAACATCTTATGGTTGTATGAACCCCCACGGGTGAAGATCCCCAAGGAGACGGTATAAGTCCTTTTCCAGCCAAGTCCAGGAAATATGAATTGATCAGAAAAAGCATTTCTCAGAGGATGATATCGTGTGCACTGCCCAAAACCAAGCCAGTTGGAGATGACTTACAGTCGACTGCTCTTTGGCGAACCGATGATGATGATGACATTAAAAGCAAGTTTGAATAAATGCAACAAAGTTTGAAAAATGCATTTTTATAAAATGCATTTTTATAATGCATTTTTTGAAAAATTCATTTTTATAAAGACATTTTCACTGCCTTTGCCATCATCATCATCAAGCTCCCCAATGCCCGGAAGTGAACCGGGGGGTGGGGGGGGGGAGGCATGGGCGCAGCTGAAAATTGACTGATGCATATAGTGCGCTTCTCAGTTTGATCATCAAGGTCTTAACTTTTCTTCTCTCTGAACTGAGATTCTATACTTATCATGTATGAACTAAAATTATGAGATAAACACTAACTAGAACATCTTTATAACAAATTAGCGATTTTCACGAATTCGGCACCATAGCTTGCAGCCAAGATGGCGGTGATGACGTCACAAACAGACCATAAGAACGGAACAACATAAATTTACATCAATAGATTGTTAAAAGGGAACAAATATCTTTCTTTCGAACGAAACTCTCATAAAAAGTGACGAAAATAACGCAATTCAAACCTTAGTGGCTTCTTCTTGTTCATCCGCATGGCAGCACTTTCGACAATTCGCCTCAAGAGACGGTTCCGATGTAAGATTAAAGGGTTTTAATTCATCGCACGAGCTACAGAGAAGATTAACCGAAAATCCTAATTCTCTACATTGCTCTGGCGTTAATTCTGAAACAGAGAGCTGAATGAGAGCAAAGAAAACGGACAAAAATGGAGAAAAATAACCCGTCCAATCCATTGAGGACACCATGCAAAAACTTTGCTATACCCAGGCTTTCACGGTCTTCTGAGAGCAACCTGCCTGGGTCGGAAGACCTCTCTTTTTTCTTGGTCCATCGAGTAAAACGCTCGAGAGACACACATGACCACTCGAGACGGGAGAGGTACGAAAAAAGAGAGACTCTCTTTTTTTCTTCTCCGGCTGCCGCCCTGGTTTCTCGCGTCGAGCGGCATCTCGCGCGAGTGCACTCCCCTTATACTAAATGTGAAAAAAAAGAGACTGCTTGCAGTCTAGAAGAATTTTTGTATTGATCAATCTATTTAGCCTGAATTTCAGACAATTACTTCGGCTCGTTTTCTCCTCTCAGCAACTGAGAGTCTGCGGGAGTAAAAACGACTGGAAGTCATCGTCTAAAATTCAGGCTACAATCTACTCCGACTTCATGTCAATCTTGGGGAGCTTTTCATTTATCAGAACTGACCGGTCAGACTGTTCCCGTGGCGATTTATTTTAAATCAAACCTGAACCTTTCCAGCAACATCAGCCAAATCCTAAATTCTATGCACGAAGGAGATAGTTTTTCATCTAAACCTTCTGGAAAAAAAGCACTTCATTTAAGTGTCAATGTATTTAGCAAGAAAGCACTAACTGAGGACACTATTTTTACGTCTCCTACCGGTGAGGGGACCGTCATTTTACGTGGTCATCCAAGCGTCAGCCACGCGAGGGTACAGCAGTTAAGGCCGGTACCGGGAATCGAACCCTAGACCTACCGCTCTGCAGTCAAGCGCTCTGCCGACCGAGCTAATCCTGCCAGGGTTAAAAAACCTATTTCTTTGTCAAACTGACTGGTCGGGCAATGGTGAGGCTGACCAGTTCTGACAAATGAAAAGCGCCCTTACCTTCGAAATCTTGTCATTTTTTGAAAATATAAAACAAGAAATTATTCAGGGAATCCGAAAAAATGAAACAAATTAACTTATAACATAGCTAGAAAATTCGTCTGATCAAATTCAATAGCGCGAGCGTGCTTCATTCGTAATTCCTCGAGTTGTTGTGAGCTTAGGGTCGCTTAGCAATCCTGAGTCTCCTGAGTGCATCCATAACTCAGCAGTACACGATGAAGCGTTTATCATGTGTTTTATGAGGAAATTTAAGAGGAAACGTTTGAATTTGCTAATTGACAGTAAGGAAAAGAGGGGAGTGTTGATGTTATGTTGTTGTCATCTCCGCGAGCTGTGCGGGCTGCAAAGTAACAATTATTCAGTAAATTAATACACTCTTTTTTTTTATAAGAATATATTTCATAAGAATATCGAGGCTGAAATTTGCGAAATTTTAAGAATATTTTAAGAATAAAGCCGAGGCTGAGATTTTGAAAAGGATAGATATAATTTTGTGTGTTGAAACACTCGCTGTAAATACAATACAATTTTATGTTTTTTAACTTAACCGTATAAAATTATTCCTTTCTCTGAACGGCGAAACTAGCCAACAAAACGAAAAAACCTGCACTAGCTATAGCAAAATGTTCAACGCTAATGACAGTTCGATGAACGGTACATGTAATACATGTACATATACCCCAATAAATTCTAAAACGGAAATGTCATAAGCCATAATTTAAGAATAATACAAGAATATTTTCAGCCTAAAATCGGCAGAAAAATAAGAATATTCAGCCTGGGCCGGAAAAACAACATTCTTATAAAAAAAGAGTGTAGTTTTCCGGCACCCAAATATGGATTTTACAATCATTGCTCAATATCTCGAACCCTTTATACTTCTGGCCCGGTTTGATAAATCCGCTTTCCACTTGATAGAGATTTATACAATGAATAGCATTATCCACTTTTCGAACAAATCGGCCCTGGAGATTTTGGCTGATAATCGGGGCTTTGGAAAATATCAAACGGAGACAACACAGTTCTTGAATGCTTTGTTCGCTTTTGTCGCCGTAAAAGAGCCATGACGTTGTCAATTTTTGTTTTGTCTTTGTCCGCTTCAACTTTTTTTGGAGAACGCGAATAAACTCATTTTAACGCATGTTCAATTTTCCAATTCCTTTTATTGCTTTTTATCATTTTACTTTCTCTTTCTGTTTCTGGGTTACAGCCGGAAGTGTGACCGGAAATAACACTTTTCCCATGGGTACAGCCGTGAAAACAGAATTTTGGCGCCTTTTTGCAACAGCAGTGACGGCGCGACAAGAAGAGGAAACGACAAGATGTCGATTTCGAGCATCATCAGAAATCAAGGAAACGAGTTTTTTCGCCAGGCTTGCTCGGGGAAAATCTCAGACTTACAGAAATCAAGAGAGCTATTTGACCAAGCGTTATCCCGGTATTACAAAGCTAAGGAAAAAGCTGAAGATTCAGACGATGAATGCTCCGCCGCCAAGAACATCGGCAAGGCTGCATGGCGGATAGCGGGTGTTTTGACTCAAAAGCTGGAGAGTTTTCAGACTATCCTGCACTACCAACGCGAAGCAATCAAAGGATTATGCGAAGCTTTCAACAAAAGTGAAGACTGTAAACCAGAGCAGTGGCGAAACGAAGTTCTAGGAACACTCACTCTTTGTTTGCAAGAAGTCATCGACTGGTGTGACACGTTTCATCCCGACATCAAGATTCACCAGCTCGAGCAGCTTGTTTTGATCACAACCGTAGATAGAGCCACTGTTGATCTACAGCTGAGGTTGGCCAGGCTTTACTTTTATGACGGAGCCACTAAGCTTCAAAATGGCGAGTATAAGACATGTCTTTCCCGCATGAGAGATTGCTACCGGCCTATCGAAGAAGTGAAGCGCTTGGCTCGTATTACAGGGGACGAGTTGAACGATCTACTAGATGAAGCGCAAACTTTAGAGCAAGATGTGTTCTATCACTCGTGCTCCGCGTCGTCAATGCAAGCTCGTGTACAGGGAGACCACCTTCTAACAATGGCTTTAGAAGATGAAGAGGAACTTGACATGACTTTGGTTTTTGAAGTCATCGACTGGTACAAGCAGGCGGTGGTCTTGGCAAGAGAGATTGAAATAGAACAGGAAGCCATCGCTGAGAGCAGACTGGGCGTTGTCTATGACAAAGTACTGAAGCTGACTCACCGTGCTAAAGATTACTTCAACCACACCCTGCAATTGGCAGAGTCCATGAAGCCGCGCATCTTCACCTCTGACGACTGGTACAAAGTGTGCGTCAGCACCCTACAGCGATATCAAGAAGAGATCCGCCAGCGTGAGGAGGACGAGAAAAGTAAGGTACGGGCTCAGTTTCTGGACGAGCTCAAAGAGGAGCTTGCAGATATCAAGAAGCACGACACCAGTGCTACTGCTTTGATCAAGCATGTGTACACCAGCTACCCTCCAAAGTCTTCTTCCTGGGAGAAACCCAGTGATGATGAGATCAGCAAGTGGGATTCACTGGAAAGGGGGACCAAAGAGTACAAGAAGTTTCTCCTAAAGGCATTGGCTGTTTTCCATCCGGACAAGGTAGATGATAAGGAACATGGGATGAAGTGGAAAGTTCTCAGTGAGGAGATTACAAAAATGATCACTAATTATTATGAAAACACAAAGTTTGCATGTTAGTCATTTCACTCACAGACAGCTCTTTAAAATGAACACATGGTGATGTTCACAAAGGTACCTCTTATGTCGTGGAGACAGGTGACTGTGGTCCGTGGGACATAGGATTACATTCTGTGATGTATATTGAACTTCGGCTTGCCACAAGTAAACAGTGGAGTGGAGAAGATATTTTTATCACTCTTGAGAGAAAGTTCTCCGTAAATACATTTTGACTCATACAGTGGATTCTGTTTCACTTTTTATCAGAGATTTATGCCAACTTTTTCAGTTGAGTGATGCTTTAGGTTGGAGTTTGTGCAGGTTTTGCTGTAAATGTAGCTCATCAAAAAGTTATGAACTGTCAATTGTTGTTGTATTTTAATAGTTTATTAGAGAAATTTTCATATGACCTTGAAAAGTGGTTTGACGTGTTTGTTGTTTTATCAGCCAATGGATGAAAAGATCAAAACATCGCGTCTGAGTTATCCTGTCAAAGAAAACGTTCGTATAAAGAAGGCGTTGTTCGATTGGCCAATCGTGTTGCAGTATGACGTCAAAGCAAACTATCGGTTGATTTCTAGAAAGTTGTCGGGCATAAAGTTTTTTTCACCAGAGTGTTCGCTTAACCAGCCAAAAGTCACACGCATTTGTATCCACTCGACAAACCAATCAGATACCTCTATTTCTGTTCACTTGTTGTTTCTGTTTAGTTTGCACATTTTCATTTCAAGGTCATACGAAAATCACTGTTAATGCTGATGTTAATGTTACAGGTAATTTCTTGATGTTGCATATGGGAACAATCGCAAAACAATGGTTTCCGTAACATCAAGACAAACCGCTGTTTAGTCTGTTATAGATTAGATTTAAATGTCAGATTTGATTTTATCATAGCGGTAGACTACAATCAGCCTCTTGCTTTACATCATGTAAGTGTAAAGAGAGTCTGTCTGTAGGTGTGAGAGGAGAGTAGGATGCCCTGTTTTGCAAATCGTGCCTCCAGATTTCTTTCAGCCATGTTTCTTTAATTCTACTTCTCTCTCTCTCTCTTCACTTGATGGACTTCGAAGAGGAGGGTGAATAAGGGTTTGCAAATCCCCCGATACGTTATGATTTACTTACCAAATTAATCTGCTGTTAAAATTTCACTCTGAATCTGAAATTCGGGTAAACATAATTTTAAAGCATGCAAAGTCCAAAATCTGGGCTAATGAAATGGATAAATCGGCAATCCGCTGCAATTGCTGGATTTGCAAATCCGTTAAAATTTTGCTCTGAATTCAAAATTCGGACAAAAATGTTTTCAAAATCCACCCATCTGTTGGCCCATTCACCCCCCTCTCAGGAAAAATAAGTGGCTGCTTGTAGCCTGTCAAAGAGTTATCATGAGGCCCTTGTAAATTAACCAAAGTTTTTAATGATAGAAGTAAGTATATTGCTGTTCAGGATCAAGGGGGATAGGGACTGGAAAGTTTCTATGTTTCTGGGAAAACTATCCACCTACCCCTCCCTAAGCCAACATTTTGCCTAAGTGAGAAGTAAGCATTAATATTGGCTTAGGGGAGGGGTAGGTGGGCAGTTTCCAAGAAACGTATAATGATCCAAAGTTTCTTTCTTCATTGTAAATTACCTTCCATTCTAGAAACCGGTACATTATTGCCTACTTGCATAAACGTTTCAAATAGATATATAATGCAAAAATTATGATTACCGTTAAATTGCGTTATTAAGTCCTTGTAATTCAATATAAATATATTATTGTTAAATTTTTTAATATGTTGCATGATCATAAAATTAATAGTAAAAAATAACGTTGAAAAACTGCCTGAAGAGAATAGCCCAACATTTATGAAAAAATGTTTTTAATGAAGTTGTATCCTTTAAGAATAATTAAAGTGCGAGTGGTCTCTCTTTTTCCTTCAGGGCTGGGCATTGTGAGCGAAAAAGTAAAATTATGCTATATAGTCAAATTAATGTTAAAAAGGAGGAGAGATTGGGGTGAAAATACAGAGCAAAAAGGTTTTGTACTATTTTTGAATTACCTTTAAAAGGAAACAGAAATTCCCAATTGTGTTGTTGTATTTTGAATCAATTTTTCAATGAAACAGAAAAGTTGAAAAATAACTTTTCAGTGTGTCAGTAACAAAAAATTCTTAGTCTCAAAGTGTGCATCAAGACTTGCACTTTGGTTTCCAAATGTATGCTGCCCTTGTTTCACACCATCAAAATTGCTGTATGAGACTACTTAACAGTCAGTGGCAAATTATGGGACCACAGTGTGACTGTAGGATTAACAGGTCATAGTTTGCAGAGGCAAATCCAAAGTTTGGGAATGATATTTTTTAAGTCAGAGATGCAGGCAACTCGGAAAAAACATCTGTGTTCTCAGGGTGCAAAGAAAGTCAGTTTTAGCTAGCATGTACTAGCCTGAAAGTCATTTCAATTAGCCTGAAAAAAATCTGATGAGCGGGATTGATTACAGTTCTGTAATTTGAATTCCCCAGGAAATCACTTGCCTGAAGGGCAAGTTAAGAACAGAATTCACTGGCCCAATAGCAAAATCCACTAGCCCTAGGCTATCAGACACCACTTTCTTTGCATGCTGGTTTTCCCAACAGGAGTTGAACCTATGACTCTCTGGTCACCAGCCCATATTCTCTGCCACTGAGGTACAGGAAGACTAAGAAGGGCTAAGGAGCTATCACTCCTTTATGCTTAAAAGGAAGCCTCAGGATGGATGCCCATAAAATTTTTATAAGTTCTAGGCCGTCTGGGTACTAAGTCCCACAGGGAACTGGACAGTGAAAGGGTTTAAATGCATTGACGTAACAAACATCCTGCACACTGCCAGGATATAATGATCAAAACATTTTTTGAGGTTGAAAAAACCCCTTAGAGGTGTAACACTGACTTGAGATACAAGGGAGGGCCGGTGATTTCTATCCAGGGGTCAGTTCCTTAAAACTTTAACATGAGTAATTTACAAGTGTGACTATTGTTCTCCGGCTCTAAAAGAGTAGCTACTTTTTCTGCTATACACCAGTGAAAATTTGACCCTCGCTGTGTGGGGGAGGAGGGTTGCTTAAGGCAAGTTCGGGTAGAAGTGTGCAGCAGAGGCCTACAAACCCTGACTCTGCAGATGGAAAATTGTCTGTTTTGCTACCCTGTTATTACGTTTTTAGTACCACAAAAATGAACGTAGACGTTTTACAGCCGACCCTCATTCAGTCTTTCAATAGCTTCAGAGTCCAAAACGACACCCTGCTCAAGATCCCGGGAAGGGGGGGACTCCGCATATGAAAGGGATGGGGATGCTCGTCGCAAATTTTGAATTAAACCCCTAAAGGAGACCGATCTGGGTGTGGCTCAAGCTTTTTTCGACCCCTAAAAGCGACCATGTTAAAACACAGACAATATATATATTTTTATATTTTTTCGCGTGCAACCCTAAACGAGACCTTCACGGTTAAATATGATGGCGTTTTGCCAAGAACATCCTAAGTGAGACCAAAATCCGAAATTTACACCCTGAAGCGAGACGACGAGCATCCCCCCCCCTTTCATATGCGTAGTCCCCGGGGTTAAAGATGATAAATAGTGAAACTTTATACTCTGTCCAGCAAGACCCCAGGCCACGGCCTAGTTTACTACATGTGCGCACAATACAGGCAAGATCCAATCAGAACTTCCAGAAATGTCACATGAGGTCAGTGAACAGTTTGACAGAAGAACCTTGCCTTGCTCTGAGCAGCCTCTTAGAGATTGGTTTTAATATGGAAGTTGTGTCCCTTATCTATTAAAGTGACTCACCCCCAAACTTTTCTTTATGGTTCTGTGGTCTGCTTCATGCTTCACGAGACTGCAGTCTTTACTGCTTTATTATGAAATTTCCCGTGGAATTTTGGGCGGGAAATGGAGACGAGGTTCCCAATGTTTGAGGAGTCCTGGGCCTGGGAAACAATCTACGACGAAATTAAGCGAAATTTGCTTGTCATCGGAAACGAAAGATCTCTGTTTCCTTGATGTTGCCTTTATAGTTCCGCGTGTAAACAAGGAATGGTGTTAATATCGTGAAAGGATTACCTATTGGTCTTTGTAAAAGATGACAAAAGACGATCTGGCCGATGGCACAGTTTCCTCTCTCTTTGAAATATGTTTCAAAACCTCTCTGAAGTACCTCGAATCATCTCAGCTTCCAAAGAATGAGAGCCTCTTTCTGCCCGAAGAAGTCTGCCAAGCACTTATATCCCAAAAGATAAAGATGGGAACTTGCAGCGATGATTTTATTGCTAAATTTTTTGCTGATGTGCAAACGAGTCGAATGACTAGAGCTAATCTTAGCGGTACAGCCATAACAGACGCGGGCGTCGAACTGATCTCTCGTCATTGTCTTCGAGAAGTGGATGTTTCAAAGTGCGAGGCGTTAACATCCAAATCAATCGAATTCCTGCTCCGTTGTAAAGATTCCCTCGTTTCTTTGAACGTTTCTTATTGTCGCCAGATTAACTACTTAAGTGGTCTGCGAGATTTTACTAAACTTAAGAGTCTGGATTTGTCTCGGACATTTATCGATCAAAGAGAATTTGATTCCTTATGTACACTGGTTCATCTCAGAAGATTAAATATTAGTGGCACACATATTTCATCCCTGGAGCCCGTGAGAAGCATGTGTTCTCTAACTTCTCTGGATTTATCGAACTGTGATGATCTTGAGAGCGTTGAACCTCTGGCAGCTGTTAAGGGGTATGACTTGTATCTCATTTGTCAAGTGACACCTAGACGATACTCACAGGCCCTGTTGTCCAAACGTTGGTTAGCGCTATAGCTTTCCACTGGACAAATTACTATCCAGCAGATAAATGTTAGGAAAATCAATACTATTGCATTATTTGCTGAATAGTGATTTATCCAGTATATAAACATTATCCACGTTTTGAACAACCAGCGCTAGGACTTGGGACTTGCCATTAATAATCCACACCCCTCTTAAGGATGGCAACCCGGGGGGGGTACTGCCATATATGGGCTATATGGGTACGTGCCGCTGTGAAGGGTATGGTTTTCAAGCAGTTTACTCTAGGATAGGGTATGTAAATCAGAGCGTTTGGGTCTAGAATAGGGTATCATTTTTCAGGAAACTGATCAGTTGGTTGAAGTTTTTATCTAGACTGGGGAAACAGCTACTCTAGGATAGGGGGATTTTGGGAGTTTACTCTAGTATAGGGTAGCAAAATTCAGCTGAACTAGCTCTGGTATAGGTCAAGGGTTCCAGGGTCCCAGCGGTACATCCCCACCCAGAAATTCCTAAAGTGCCCCCCCCGGGGATGGCAAGCTTTTGAATAGGGTGGTTTGAACATTTTCGTTGAGGAAGCTGACAAAATCTGCACCCTTATGATATTATTTTAGATGTCCTCCAAAAAGTAAACCCTTCAGAGGGTGCTAACAAAAAATTGAGGGTTCAAATTCCTGCCATCTGTAGAGGGATTGCTGATTAAAAAATATGGAACATTCTTTATAAGGGCCTCAAAGTGGTTCATCATGGTCTGTAGCATTTTTCAGCTCCTCTGCTTTTAAACGACCACGGCAAAAATGGTATTAAACTACCGGTAGTAATAACCAAAGTTTAGGGAGTGTGGGCGAAAACGATCGAAGGTCAAAATGCTTTTGCTCCATCCCTGTGCTTTGCATAAGCTTTACGTGACAGATAGTCAAAACAGGCATGATCAGATTATAAGGGATAGAAGGTCGAGACCCTTGTGATCAAATTGCGTTCTGTGCATTCCATTCATTCTTAGTGGAATTTCAAACGAATGCTGGCTACCTACATGTGACGTATGTGTAATGAAAACCTGCAGATTAGGATTGCGGGCGACAATAGGAGCCCGCAACAAATGCTCAGTGATTAGTGAGAGAGTTGTAGCCATTTTTTGGCCTTTTGGCCATTGACTCGATATGAGTTATCCCTGTGTTGTCACTCCGATATTAAGCAGAGTGGCAGATCCAGGGGAGAAGCCTGGGGGGCCCAGGCACCTCTTATTTGAAGTCCAAACTGCAGCCTGAAGGGCCGCAAAATTTTTTTTCCACTTTATCATCATTATTCAGGATATTTGCTTACACATATACTGGAATTAAATTTATTTTTGTTTAAAGGACACTGTGCTGGCTGTCACTGTACAACTGTAGAAAACTGGACGCGGTTGAAATGTTAGTTACACTGCAACAACTAATGCAGTTGCAGCACCTTGATTTGTCAAGAGATGATCCCGATGAATCTGTGTGGTTTCAATCATTTATGGAATCTATGGTAGTGCTGGTGGATGAGGAGTTTTTGGAAGAATTACTGCCTTGTCTTCCAAATCTAACCTCACTGGACATTTCAGGTCAGATTAGGTTTAACTAAATTGTCACACAGGATAAAGACTGTGCTAGAAGCCCATGGCCCCTGGCTCCTAACTTTTGCCGCAGGCAACAAACAAATCTCAGTTTTTCATAGAAATCTTATGCTGGGTCCCCTGGATTTCTCAGGTTCAGAGCACTGGGCTCCCTTCAATTTTTCTTACGCAGTGCAGCCTTACAGAATGATTAAAAAAGACTAACAATATTGATATTAGCCGTATTAGCTTTTTAGCTTTTGACTGCAGGTAAAATCAGTTAACCCCCATTGGCTATTTTAATGCTAGAGACCTTAAAATCATCTAGACACATTTAAAATTACAGATGTTAAAGGGAACTGGTGTAAAAATGGAATGTATGAAAGAAGACAATGACATGGAAAAAAAACAGGGTTTTCTGCAAAAAAGACAAACCACTGACTCTCCCCAGTCATCTCTGGAGAAGCTGGGCACGAATGTGTCCCAATTACAGTGTCCCATTTTTTACCAGACTCATTTAATGTCTGAGAAGTTAAAGTCAACTGTGAAGTAGTCTGAATGATGCCCTTTAATAACAGAAAATGTTAAAGTTGTCATACGTAATGCATCTGTCTTATTTACCATTTTTATACTAGACGTTTAAGTCAACGTCCCTAGCATTAAAATAGCCATTGTCACAAGGAAGATGCAATGCTTTTTCGCAGGCAGACCTTATCAATTTTTTTACCTTAAATTCATGACACGACTTATTCAAGGGCGGTGTTCCTTTAAGTGAATCAGAAATTTTCCTTTCCTTGTTTTCACCAGGTAATGCAAGGTTCAAGTTTGAGCACTTTCAGCTGTTTCGTCAACACTGCAAACAGAGGCTTCAGTTTCTTGGATTATTTCAGACTGATATGTACCGTTACCGAGAAATTCCTGCTGAACAGGTCAGCAATAATTTCTTACAATTGCTCTCCTTTCCAGAGCTGTCAATAGGTCAGAAAATTATGGCAATTATTTTGAAAAAGTTTAAGTCAAGACAGTGACTAGTGTATGTGCCAGAGTGAAGCACATAGAAACCCTGCCAGGTCTTGTGGTTTATGCACTGGACTTTTAATCGGAGATCAGGGTTCGAGTGTTGGTTGTAAGTGTCGTGTTGTTTTCTTGGACAAAAAACTTGGCTTCTCTCTTCACCAAGGTGTATACTATTTCATTGCAAATAGGCTATTTACTGTTGGGGGAATCCTGTGATCCCAGGGGGCAACTCTTATATAAACATGACAGAGATGCTTGTTGAAAAACTAGAATTTTAGTCCAGAGGAGACCCATCTGGATGTAGCCTGCCGCACAGACGAAACTAAAACTCTGGGTGAGTCTGTCTGCAAGCCAGAGCCAGAATTCCTTTTTCTTGGTCCCCAGCTGTGTACCAGGATTTGAGTATGCACCGTGGTTGTCCTGTTAAAAAAGCCATTGTCAATTAGCCAATCAGGTTGGAGGGAAATTCAAAACACACTTCTGGTAATTTGTTTAACCTGTTGGGTGCCTAGAACTAAGGATTTTGGTACTTCTTTGCAGATGTTATTAGCCGTAGTTAGATTAGGTCTGCATTGCAGGCTAATATAAATGTGGCTTAGAAGTTTGCTCTACTGTAAACAGACAGCCAAAAATAAGAGCTATAGTGATTTTCATTGTACTGTATTCAACACAGTATGATGGCGCATGGCTTGTGTTATAAATAATTTTTTCTGCACAGTCTTAGGCGATAGTTGTATGGGTAAAAAATAATGTTGGCTTTCCATCCCGAGACCAGAATTTGCAATTCACGTTTCTAAAAAAGATGACAAGCATCCTCATCTTTTTCATGTGGGAGTACCCCCCACTGCCCTGGGCATCTGCCATGCAGTACCTCATAGGACAGGGGATGTACCAAACTGAGATAATTTCCTGCCAAATGCACCTTACCTTAACTTACCAATGGCAAAATAGAGTATTCCTATGGAGCCCCATCAGGGAAATTCTCAAGTGTCCCCTGCTCCCCTCCCTGCAACCCACATTGTACATTTAAAATCATTAGAGTCCTATTCTAAGAAATTGATCCATAGAAATCACCATACATGATTTAGAGATGTAATGCCTTCAACTCTTTAAACATTTATGTAGGTGTCAGGAAATGCGAATCTCAGTCAGATCACTCTGTCAATGGAGGTTTACAAGAACAGGCCCAAGTTTCTGATCAGTGCTTTGCAAGAACTGTTTTCCATCATAAGGCAAAGGGATCATGACATGGACATTAACTCAATTTGCAGAGTAAGCCATTGATAGCTCTTATAGAAGGTCTGACACAATGAACACAGCAAACCAAAAAGTGCAATATTATTTTGCTTCATTTTCTCCGGTTTACAAAAAAGCCAACCCAACTTTTTTTACCTTCTATTTCACCAAAGCAGTTTAGTGTTTCTTAAGTGACATGGAAGGCATGCACATGCAAAAATCCAAGAAATTATAAGCCAAATGAAAAATCAATCTTAAATCAACAAACTGGTACATTCATCATTCCCCCAATTTTCTATTTTATAATTACGGCTTTTTAGTCTAAAATTCATTTTATCTGTTTTCTGAACAGCTTGTCTTAGGTTCCATGGAAAATCATTCTTCAGAGAAAAAGATTCAACTTGCTGGAAGGTGAGTCTGAACCTGTATTCATGAACCCTTGGTCTTTTTTGACCTTCCAGTGATATATTTTCCAGTCAAAATGAGTTATGAATTATTCATAGTGGCTGGATACAGGCCATTACATGTAGATAGTCTACTCAATACATTTGTAACCAGGAAGGGGAGGACGGATGCCCCTGTTTTCCTTTAAACAGGTAAAAATAAGTGGATTGCTCAAACATTTTAAATGATCATGGAATAGTTTTAGAGGTTAAATGGCTTTTGGTAAAATGACCAACAGGACAGAAATTTCATTTTGAGTCATGTATTCATTTAATTAGCCTGTGTGCAGATGTCTCCTATTTCCTTTGTTGCTCAAGGAAAAAGAATATCTGTGTAATGATGTTGCTTAAATATTATTGTTAGTATTTCTAATTTATTTAACCATAATTTATATTTGATTGCAATTGGCCGTTCCTGTAAAGTGACATGAATAAGCTGCTCCGAGCCTTACTTTAAATTTATGAAGTGTGTGTGTTTTGTTTTTCAGTGCTTCCCTGTATCATCTATCAAGAGATGATGATGACAATCCTAACTGGCAGCTGTCCATGGAGTTAAAAAGGTAGTAACATGTACTTGTAAAGAAAACAGCAAATTTAAGAGGAAAATGTCAGTAATTTGGAGAGTTGTCATAGGTGATGATTTAGTGAATAAAACTTCTCCTCATCTCCTTCAGACGTGTCATTGAAGCCACTCTGAATGCCATGGAAAATCATGTTAAAGAGGCTCAGGTGTGTAAACTGATTTGAAAACATTACTAGAAATAATAAGTAAATCATATAACAAGTTATTGTTGTGATACGATAAGAACAGTTAAACTAGTTTTAGGTGACAAGTGCATAAGCCATTAAAATTATCATGCAATGGTCAGTGACAAAGGTGAACCAAGGCCTATCTTGCCTTTCCCTTTCCCCTTAAGGTCTGGCACCAGTTGTTTAAAAGGTGGATAGCACTATCCACTATATAAATCTCTATCCAGTGGATAGTGCAATTGGTTTCCCAAGAAGAGGAATTCATCAAGAGATTTATCCGATGGAAAGCTCTATCCAGCTTTTGAACAACTGGGGCCTGGATGAGAGTAGAATTGTATCAGTACATTAAACTATCAATGTATTTGCATTGTGGGTGCTGTGATAACTATGCATTGATCGCAGTTTCAACAATCCAATACAGCAGAGATGTAGCTAAGGAAAAGATAAGCAGGCTAATTTATTAGTCAAGCCAGCTTTTTACTCAACTGCATCTCTAAAATTCCCCGATGTCTTTGTTTTCATTTTTAATTTGAGCTGGTGGTAAACCCTTTTTCAGCCATTGAAATTAACTGACAGCCGGCTCTTAGCGACATCCCTGCAACAGTTTTTTACCATTAATAAATTGTCAATAGTTATGAAAGTTCTCAAGTTATGTCCAGTGTTCCTTTTTCTTGATTGAAAAATGCTTCTCATGTTCTCTGTTAGCTCTCTGTCCAGTTCACTGTTTTGTTTTATTGTTTCTTGAATTCAAGGAAAAATGTTACATTTTTAAAAACAAACTTTATTTATCTCCACAGTCTTTTCCAGATTTCAAATGTTTGATGATTTGGAGATTTTATGCATTAGGAGTTCAATAATAAAGGCAGTCTTAAAGATTCGTGTTATAGTTACATTGTTGAATTCAAATATGCATGGCTTGATAGCAGTATTTTTCATTGAAATACTGTGTTCTGTATTTTTTTTTATTTTATTAGTTACAGAAGAACTGTTGCCTAACTCTCTGCAACTTCAGAATTCCAGATGAAGTGGTAAGCAGTTTTTTTGTAAACCGCTTTTTCGGCATTAATTCTCTAAATACAACAAGTGTGGTGTTTACAATAATTTGCCAAGTTCGTGGATTAATTTTCCAGATTTTTAGTGTGACCATTCCATGATATCATTGCTTGCAAACAGTAATTGTCCCTCCATATTGCACACGTTAAGAATGTTTTAGATTTTCTCTTCAGCTCTGTAAGTAGTTTGCTCAAACTTTTGTCTTTGCTCATGAAGTTAGGTTTAACGATTCAATTAATACCCATGCTCCAGCTCACTGTTCATGCTGACTGTACTGCACAAGATGATTCAAGCTTTTAACAGTTTTCTTGAGTTCAAACATGTGCATTTCTTTGTACATTATCTCAGTTAGTCATGTCTCAAGCAGATGGTTAAGTCATTGCAATTGCTTCGGTGAGGTAAAATTCTTGGGAGCCACAACGGCTTGTGCTAATTTAATTACAATTAAGTATTTTAAAGCAAGCTATTTCCACTCAAATCTTGAAAGCTGAACTACATTGGCGGCATCTGTGTCTCCTGTAGTTTCTAAAAAGTAGTTTGGGTTAATGTTTCCTTCAAACTGACAAGGAATAGAAGGAGAAAATACCAACAGTTTCACCACTGCGCAATGAAGGGATTATTAATTTGAACCAAGACAAAGTGTTAATGATTTAGCCATCATGATATGACAACTTTTGTAAAAACTGTAGATAGTGATGCAGCCAGGATTCAAACCCTCGTGGCAACATCCCACTCATCACGCTGGAGCTCTACCAGTGTATATTTCATTGTTTGTTTGTTTTTATTTAAAAGCTTTTTGGTTTTACTTTCAGAGTTGTAATTGTAAAAGAATTGTTGAGCTGTTGTTGCGGGCGGCCTTGGTGCATCATGACGACTTTATACAAAGGACTGCCATTGCCCTATGTAACCTTCTGGTGTGTCAGGTATGTAGTGCTAGAAATTTAGTATTATGGTATGTTCAAACCTGGGAGCAGTGAGGGCCCAGTGGTGAAAACGCTTGCCTTGCACCAAGATGGCGTAGGCTCAAGTCTTGGTGTCAACAAGGGTGGATTGAGTTTGTTATTTGCCCTCTTCTAGAGCTGCTTTCGGAGGTTTTTCTCCAGTTTTTCCCTCTCCTCAAAAACCAACATTCCAAAAAAAATAAATTCTATCTGGAAATTGTCTCCAGTTAGTTCAGATTAGAGGGCCACAAGTTTATTAGTCCTTGAAACTGTCTATTGTCACCCTCTCTAAATGAGATAAGACAGTTATTATTATTATTATTATTATTATTATTATTATTATTAAATTTTATCAATTATTATTATTGTCTGATGTGGTTTAATATAGTTTTACTAAGTTTTCTTGTATTTACATGTACTTATGTAGGTGCAAGACTCCCAAAAGATTATAGTGGGTCGAGACCTGCAAGGAGTCGAGGTATTTTTATCGTTTACTATTAAGTTAGAATATTAAAGGTAAAGTCGTGAAGAAGCATAGCGTAGTATTTGTTCCTCTAAGTTTGTTTTGGTTCATGTAAAACCTGGAAAGCGACAAAAATTAATAGTATTTGACGGTATTTTTGTGAAAATTATGGTTCAAAACGTTTTTTTGTCAACATTTTTTGTCTTGCAGAAAATCCTGAATATTATGCGATACAAGATGGGAAACAATCCGGTATGACTCTCTCCTAAAAATGTTGTAGACTTTGTCTCAAAATATTTTACTCATTGGTTTTTAAACACTTACGGCTTTTTCATGACCCATGAATCACCAGGGAATACTTAAGTTTTTGGTTATTCTTTTAGGCGTCTGGTGGTGTTCTTGAATGCTGTTGGAGTGCATTGTGGAATGTTACAGGTAAAAATAACATTGTGTCAGGAGAGAAAAATCTGACGATTTATGAAGGAAGGAAACTGTTACATTTATTTCTTCCCTTGTTTGCAGATGAAACTCCAGAAAACTGCTCGTTGTTCCTTTCTAACCGTGGTTTAGAGCTCTTTATGAGGTGTAATAACGTGAGTAGTAACAATTACTTACGAGAGGTATCTTCTAGTTCAGTAGTACACACGTGTATGAGGGAAAAGGGCTGTAAGTTTGACTTCACATTGCCCGATTTTAGACGAATTTCAACCCTGGCTTGGGTTCTTTTGTGTAATGTAGTAAAATATTATGCACTGTGTTTATTTTTTTTCTTTACATTGTTCTTGGTAAGCACTTTTATATTTCAAACGTTTTTATTACTCAACTTATTTGTATTTCCTTTTTCAAGTATTCTTGTCTCTTTTTAGCGGCTCGTAAGTTCCCTTATCTCCGCGCCATTTTCTCCCACTTTTTTACTTGTCCTCAAGCCCCATCTCTACTGCAACATTCAAGTCTACCGAATACTCCTTTTTCGTTAGTATTCAAAGCACGTTTGCTTTTCCTTTCTTTAACAGGAATTGAGTGATCAGCGGGATTTAGTGCGAAACATGCTGGGACTCATGGTAAGCTGTTACGCTCTTTTTTTTATATAAGAATGTTGTTTTTCCGGCCCAGGCTGAATATTCTTATTTTTCTGCCGATTTTAGGCTGAAAGGGGGCATGATTATTCTTAAATTTCGTTTGTATTTTCCGTTGTAGAATTTATTGGGACATTTTTTCAATTAAAGTTTTTTGGAATAAGATTGTATCGCGTTAAAGAAGATTCTCCATCGCTTTTCGTTGGTTGGAGGTTAAAGATGTCGCGTCAAACTAGTTTAGCCGTTAGAAATTTGGTCTTTTTCGCCGTTTAGAGAAAGGAATAATTTTATACGGTTAAGTTGAAAACATAAAATTGTATTGTTTTTACAGATGTTTCAACACAAAATTATATCTATCCTTTTCAAAATCTCAGCCTCGGCTTTATTCTTAAAATATTCGCAAATTTCAGCCTCGATATTCTTATAAAATATATTCTTATGAAAAAAAAAGAGTGTACAAGCAAACATCACTGGAATTGCGATTCTGATATAAAATGGCGGGGGGAAAAACAGTGCCATTGGATAACAGTATCAAGGAGTTTCGTTTGTCCTTACAAAGTTGCTCAAGTTTCAGTCAGTCGTCAAACTTCACTTGTGCCGAACCTAACCCTAACGAGTCATCAGCATTAGTTTCGGCACATAGGAATTCGACGACGTATATCCTCAAATCTCTTCGTCAACGCTTGTTGTACTACGACTGCTTTTTCACCGCTAACTTAGCCTGCGAACAGGCTTCCGATTATCTCTACCCACAGCCAGCCTGTTGACACTGACTACTTAACCTCGTCCGGGAAAAACGGAGTTGAAAAAAAGCTGCATACTCTCTTGTGTTTTGCATTTATCGAACTATCTATTCGTTGTTCAACTCTTAGTTTTATGTCGGCCACGTAATAGTTTCCTCCTGTGTTTGTTCTTGATGCCCTTGAGCCACAAGAAGCTAAGTCTTAGTACTCGTCGTTGATCCAAAAGCCCTGGATTGTTGCATATGAAGATCTAGTTTTTTTGAACTGATTGTTTTTTTGTTTGTTTGTTTGTTTTATGTTCTTTTTGTTTTGTTTTTAGGGCAACGTGGCGGAAGTCCCTGAATTGAGGCCTCAGCTTATGACGTTGGCTAACGTGTTCTAGTAGGTTCATTCGCTGCTTAAAGGAACTGTGTCTTGAATGTTATTAAAATTCAAACAGTGAAGACCGCCATCAAACTGAGAGAAACATTTTTAATAACTGCTCAAAACTTGCAAAGAAGGTATGAATAACACAAAAAATACAAAAGGAGGCCCAAATGGACAAACCTGAAGAAGATTGAAACGGATTACAACTGTGGTTTTCGAAACCTGGTTAGCCTGACAGTTTTTCAAAGTTCATTTTTGTTGTTTGTAAAGTTTGATAGTATGGAGACATATTTGTTTGACTCTGAACTTTAATTTTGCCATTCACAAGTAATTTCTCAAGTTTCATAGCGAAAAAGGAGGACACATAATTGGCGTTATCAACAAAATGAACTAGACAACCGTGACATGGCGCCTTTTAAGCTTGCCTTCATTTTTAATGCAGCGGTTTTTTTTTGTGATTGGCTAAAACTGAGTAGTTTGGTGTTTTTTCCAGTGATTTGTTACTGAATAACAATCCAAATGAACTGGAAGTGACGTACAATGCTGGTGGGATCATCAGTCATCTGGCATTTGACGGGCCAGACTGCTGGACAAACACTGTAGTGACACGCGAAGAGGCGCTTCGAAGACTGGTAAGCTGTGCTTAGTGGCGTATTTGATAAACTGTTAAACTGTACAGCGTGGTAAAGCATTGGTAAAGCACGCATAACAACCTTGTTCCCAGGGTCCTCTCCTACTCGGCCCCCGGGGCTCCAGTCACTGGAAACGAAGTTGCACGTGTCAGTGGAAGTCCAGGCAACGTCAGCTGCGATGACAGCGCGGACACCCCAGAATGAATGGCTTAATAAGAAAAAACGAATACATGTATAATGTACACCGTCTATCCGACTAACGAGCATTAGGCGTGCACGTGATAAAAACATGCTAGTACTACTATGCGCAGTGAAAAAAAGCACACACACAAAGCAAACACGTGATTGGTAGTGGTTATATTCTGTGAATTTTGCGGAAGTTGTTGATGTTGTTTTTAGTGTCTGTACCAGCTAGAAAAGAATTCTGGCGTTTATGTAAGTATCAGTTTGAGTTAGGGTGCGAAAGTGTATTGTATCTCTTTTTGTTTCGTGAGGGCCTTACTTCTGATTAGAAAGGGGTAAACTGGAATAATAACAACAACGAAAACTTCAAAGTAAAGAAGATCATCGAATATTATAGACGCAACTTTTGCAGTTGCGAAAAGAAAACCTGACAAAAATAGGGCTTGTACGGAATTAGGCCTCTTGAGCACTCCGATATCGGTGCTGAGCTGGCCATTTAGTTGGTTTGTCCCGCAGTTCTAACATATGATTTTCACATATTCATTACTTCAAAAATGCAAAAAATAGCAAATTAAAAAAGTAAAGATTAATCCTAGAAAACAAGTGATTAGTCAAACATGATTAGAGCTTGTAAGCACAAACGGGGTGTCCGTTTTAGCGGGGTGTCCGCGAGGCGAGAATTGACTGTACAGTAATTTCCTAAACTTTTGTTGATTTACTCGCCTTTTTAGGAGGAGATCATTGAGACTTGGGACATACGAACGCGACGTCAGATGAGTTATCGGTAAGATACTTTCCGAACTGTGAAAGGGTGGTATAATTATGCCAGGGGCTGGGTTGTTTGCAAAATCTCAGCGCGTATAAATTTGGTTTAATTTTCAGAAGGTATCCTTAAGTCTGACTTTTGTGTTTGCTGAAGTCACTTTGCGAAAAAGGGCAAGGAAATAGAGAGAAAATTTTAGTCTCCTTACTGCACATGTAGTTTAAGGAGTTTTAGACCGCTTATACATAACTTCAATTGACAGTTTCAGGACTTTCAAGCAACGTTCTTAGCGTTGGACACTTGCTAATTCTGTTACTCTTAGACAGACCAATGAACCAATCAGAGCTCGAATAAAATGATCGTGCGAAGGGCGTCAAGCGTGAGAATGCACTTAAGATCGAGTCACGTTTGATTTTGGTGTGACCTTTCATTAACCAATCAAATGTCACAAAAAGGTAGGGAAGCTTTCTAGATAACCAATCAGAAAGTTTAATAATGAAAATCTGGTTCAAGCGGAAGTGAGTTCACACCGGACTTTTCACTGAAAAGTCCAGTGTGAACCCACGTAATATGACTTTGATAGTCGCAAGAAGTAGTCTTATATTCTAATTCGCTACCCCGCTCAAACGAATATAAAACATATTTATCATGTAACAAGCAACCTCAATTGGGGTGTGTCAACACGAGCCGTGTGCGACCCTCTTTATTATGCCTTCATCAACAGAATGGATGGAAATAATACAACAAACAGAATGAAAACTCGGAAATGTAAAAAAAATTATAGCAAGAAAAACAACCCAACAAAATGATCTAAACTATCCTCGCATAACAATGATTCAGTAAACATACAAAACGTGCTAAACCTTTCATAAAGCAGCATGCAAAAAACTACGTCTAAGAGAAACCCCTGATCACTGGGTATTTAATTTTGAGGGCGTAGGGACGGTCGTAAGACGCGAATGAATATAAATGAGAACAACTCAAATATATATAGCCTACCGCTAATGAAGCATCAGAACAGCATACCATGTAACACCCCAAAGAAAAGGTTACATAACCCATGATAAATACATATCCCTCTTGCACACGGTGTGATTCTAAACATGCGGTTCAAAGAATAACTCTGTCGTTATGATTAGACATGGCTCACTTTTCTTAGCTTCAACAGGGTTGAACTGAAACTCTCCCTTGATTTCCTTTTTTTTTTCTTCTAGCTCTTTTGCTCCAATATTGAGGTTGATATCCGGATGTGACGTAACCGCCATACACCATTGGGCTACGTGGGCATTGGCTAACTTGTGTAATGTTGATGGTAAGTACATTTGGTGGTTTAAGCGTTGTCGTAGACGGTGTAGCAGATTCAATATTCAATTGATTTTAGATTTAAAGACGAAGACGACTACGAGGACTAGATTTAACTTAAAAGTTTTTTTTAGCGTGTTATCAATGAACAGATACTCCGGAAAGTTTCACTTAACTTTTTTCACCAGTAACACGGTTATTTTTATTGGAGGAGGTTGTTAAAATCCCTCTCTCGTTCGCAAAGTGATAAAACTTCTAACCGATAACTTGCTTCCGTCACTACGACGTGTTCGCTAAAACCCGTAGTATGACGACGGCTACCATGTTTTCCCGCCAAAATGACGCTGGCTCACGCGCGCACTACCTGATATTGAGAAAATCTCGTTCTCGTCTCAGAATCTAAAGATCTCTAATGTACATCCAAAATGAAAAAAATGCTGGCATTGAAAACCAGCGTTGAGAGAAAAATACTCAAGCTTCTTCGACTTTTCCACTAATTTAACGTTGCTTGAAGTGAGAGGGAAGGGTTGATGGTATGCATATTATTTCTAGGTATGAGATCGCAACTGTACCTTTACTTCGTTTTTGTATTTTTTTTCTTTTTCAGCGGAGAAATACTGCAAGCTTGTTCGTGACGAAGGCGGCATGGAGCTATTACAGGGTCTCACCGCAAATCCAAACACGTCTCAGCGAGTCAGGGAGCTGTCCCAGATGACCCTAGACAAGTGCTATAATAATCTGGAACATCTGGAAAATAACGCTCAACAAACAACATAAAATAGTCAACTCAACTCAACTCAACAATAGCCTAAACGATTAAAAGCTCTCGTGATGCACATAATAGTAAGATTAAGAGAACATCTTATCGAAAATATCGTTGGCCTTTTAACTGAAGATCAATCAAATTTCCGCTGCTATGAAAAACACATTGTTTGTGTCTGACGATAGATCGACTAAATTTAGTCTTTTTGGTAACTCGCTCCTTATAAACGAACAACAGCGAACCTCTCAAAAAAAATTTAGTTAGGGTCGTAGGTGAGTTTTATGCAGAAACTGCCTCCTAACCAGGCTACGACTGAGAGAACAGGGCTACCGAAGTTTGAAAAGGCGGAGGGGATCGGGGCTTTGCGTTCGCCAACTTTCACTCTGAAGACTCGAACTCAGTCTACGCGATAATGTAATCGTTGAAAGAATATGGGACCTGGGCGTGAGGCAGTGACGTCATCAATTTGTAGATTAAGTTATCAATGTATTTGGCGCGTTAGGTTTGTAAATATTTTGTATGCACAGTACAGACATAACATTATGATATTTAATATCAATCAGGGTATAATGAGGTAGCCTGATATAGTTTAGCGTTTTTTGTTTTCATTGGTTTAAGCCACATATTCTTAAATGGTTTTGATAATGCTAAATCTAAATCTAAATCTGTTAGAGATTTTAATACGGGTATGAAGTTTGGTGTTCTTGGGACAAACAGAACTATCCGTAATCGAGAGGTGTCCATATTATAGAGATTTGCGTAAGTAGAAGTTCAACTGTATTGTACTGTGTTGCGAAAAATAAAATAAAGAACGCTTGTTTTGCAAATCTTAGCTGTCGCTTTTGTTGTGCGTATCATAAGATGCGAGGCAAGTGATGGTAATTTGTTTGGCTACGAAAGCTCCTAAAAAAGGCAGATCGAAAGGCTTTTCAAAAAAGATACTGTGGGTTCGACCAAACGACTATATCGGTTAGTTCAGTTTCCTGTTTCCAAAAGAAATGTTTTTGTTACCAGCGAAGCACCACCCATCTTGGCTTCCCGTGGGATACAACCTAGTCCCTGGGGCTTTTCCCTTAGGAAATAGGGTGGGCCCCTCGCATTTTCTAAGGAGGGAAAAGGACTGGGGACGAGGTTGCGTAGGATGTGGAGGTTTTTCATGTCAGTTTGCAGGTATTCTTGTTTGTCGTTGAATAGGGAACCTAAAAGTTAGTCCTGATCTGTCTTTGGAAGGAAACGTTTTGGCGTGAGGCGGAATTCTTCGGTGTCGAGTACAGGCCGACAAAACGTCCTACTTCAGCCGCAGGTCGAAGCTTGACCGAAACCGGAAACCGCGCATGAAAGTCTCTGGCTGCCAGGGTAACTGATTCTTTGTTCACATGCAAATGAAATCAGCTTTCACAATAAAGGTTCCACACTTGGTATAGTTTCGAAAGTGAAATTGCCTATTTGCATCACAGTAGAGCCTTGCCTTACACAATTTATCCAACGCTTTTCTTTCATTAGAAGAAAAGAGAATGTGAAAGAAGCTGGTCACATGTGTCTCGCTATGTCGCCAGGTGAGTCTGACCGACAGAAGCATTCTCCACTCCTCCTGTCTCACTTAGCCAGCGGGCAGAAAACTCTTAGAGGTACGAAAATGTGCAGAAAGCAGTTTCGTATGACTGACCGCATTATCGCTGTCAGTGATTCTCAAATGCTGACTGCGCCCGTACTGATTTGTAATAGGAGCCTGGAGGTGACTTCGTGCCCAGGCTCCAGCATCGTTACGATTTGGTGCTGATTTGAGGACCATTTGACCACAAAAGGTGGATAGTGCCAGTCCACCGGATAAATCATTATCCAGCCGAATAAATTGTTATTTTCCTGATACCTATCCACTGGATAGTAATTTATCCACTTAGCAGTTTGAACAACTTTTGCCCTGCTTACCCAGAACGTTTTAGGACTCTTTTAGTGTACAGAATCAAATCAAATTATATTCTGTTAGAATTAAACATCGCTAACTCTGAAAGCACCGAAAAGCATAATGAAGGATTGCAGAAGAGCTTACATGAACAGACCAAGGGAGGATAAACAGACTTTAACAGCTAGATAAGTCCCTGTGGGTCATCTGTAACTGAAGACGCTTTTTACTAAAGTTAAGTTGCTACTCCAAGGGCTAGTTTGCCTTATTACCCTTGTTTATTGCTATTCTTAAAGGTCAGTGAATAAAAGCTAAAGCCAGGGATACGTTCTCCATTTTAAGCATAGATAAACAACCGCAATTGTTATAGTTCAAGTCCACGTTTCTTGTCCCTGTCCCCTGGGAGTTATTTTCCTACAGAAACTGGGAGTTTAAAGAACTCTTTTTCAGGAGTCACCCCAGATATTGAGGAGTTAAAATAACCCCAATAAAGGAGTTATGGCTGTACCTAAAATTTTTACTCACTTTCTGAGTTGAAGTAACTCCAAAAACAGTAAAAACAACCCATGTAAGGAGTAAAATTAACCCCATTTTCGGACTTATTTTAACTCCAGACTGGGAGTTAAAAACACTCTTTTTCAGGAGTAAAAAATTACTGTGCATTCTAACTTCCCAGGGGTTTGCTGTATGTTCAGGCTAACCAAGAGACTCGACGTTTTGTTAGAGACTCTGCAGAGTATGAACGCTCACCTCACCTCCTCCTCCCCTCCTCTTCAATTTTGACTCATTGGTGTCCAGGCCTCTTAATTTTGGAACCAATTCTTTCCCTGAACGTCATTTGTTGAAAGATTGTGTGCACGCATGGGGGAGCACTTCCAATCTGTGCACAGTCAACAAAGAAAACGACGCTTTTCAGGCTTGTCAAGGCAGAAAAATGCGACTTATGTTCAAAGAAGAGTATGTGTGTTTTCAGGAGGAGTCAACAAAAAATATCTGCCACAAAAAGCTATTGATGCTACAAGTTTCGACTGTTGAAACTCCAATATCGACCAGTTTTGTGGGATGAAATGACTGTCAAACAAAATCCCAGAAAGAACGGAAGTTTGCGTAGCCGTTGAAATGGGGCGCTTTAGAAAATGAAACTACCGCTTCTGGGAAAAAGGGGGTACCGGGAACCTTTATCATGGAAATTTGACAGCACCTTGACAGCGAGAAGACAAATCTGCCCCCATATTAGTCACTGCGTCCTGGTCTGCTTAAAGAGTACAACATACAAGACTAATTCAAGCAGGGCAGTATTGCTTCGAAAGTGCGCGCCCGATCGAGCCAGATCCAAGGAAAGAAGCTTTCAAGGAATCCGCTTTCAGGTAACTGTTCAGTGGCTTAGCATAAGATGTTAGTGTCAGGCTTATTTTCATTATTGTGAATTAAATGGGTGCGGCACTAGGATGGCATTGTTGTGAGTAGCCTGTAAAGGATTCAGCGAACTTTACGACTACGGGCACCAGTTAGGTCATCTTTATATACCACATCAATTAATTTCAGCCCTGAACGGCAGTCCCTAGAAATTCCTACTGTTTACCCTTGATACTTTTTCCTTTTAGTATTTCGAAAGCGAATTTAGTTCTTGTAGAGGTACATTAGAGATTATCAACTGAGATTATCTGCATGGGGAGACTGTTAATATAACTTTTGCTGAGTTGCTAGCTCCTCAATTCCACTGAAAATGCCTCTTGCCAAAATGAATAATATTTTCAGGATATTCACTGAAAGGACAATTTGGCAATAATATACAATGAACCAAGAAATTTTTAGAGCTAGATAATGGAACATGGATGTGAAATACAGCCGGCTTTAACAGTGGGAGTCGATGAAGCAGCAATGAGCGAGAGGTGATCCTTTGTTCTGTTATTAGAGGTTTTGATAGATCGTATGAAGGATAGTTTTAATTTCATTGTGCAAAACCAAAAGGCTCATGCTGAAGAAAGTAATTCAAAGTCGATCGTTGATGAGAGTCCTACGGATCACATTCCCGTGGCATGGAGAAATGATCATGAATACTTGTCCGGGAGAACTTATGATATTTGACGAATTCACTGCATCCCTAGATTTTACTGTTTCTCATACATCGTGTTTACGCTTATTCAGTTAAACGTCAGCATCAATAGTTAACCGGTGCTTGTAAAATATAGCAAAAGTGCCATGATTCGAACATTAAGCCTGAACTGATCACATTTATGGATGCTCTCAGTTTTAAAAAATAGGTTTCCTATTAATATAAGCAAATTGAGCAGATTAGAGATGATTTATTTTAGTGTACTGCACACACAGATAGACTGTTGAGACATAACTAAATAAAATACAACTTCTTCTCATATGTGAAACCTGCGCTCATCATAGTCATTGCAAAAGAAATAGAAGAAACGTCTTTCTTTGCAATGGGCTGTTTATAGCAACCACTTAGGAAAAAAATCTGTGTCTCCTAAAAATATTGAGATTACGATATAATTTTGCTGAATTGTCAGTTTCAGTTTGGCATTCCCGTTCCGAATAATTTTGTTTTCATGTCAGCATTTTTTCACCCACTGTCAGCATTTTTTCAGCCACAAAGTGGTTGGTTATTACTATTCATTACTTCTTGAAAATCCATGCAAGACATTTCACGTTTTTCTTGGTAGAACTGAACTGTAACTGCAAACGTTTTAAAAATGTTCTACAGCATTATAAAACTGAAAAAATGCTTCATACTTCTCGAATTGACTTGCTTTTGCTTTCCATTGCATATTTGTACGATATTTTTGAAGTTATCTTTTCGGTCTAAATTATGTTAAATAGTAATACCGAATCAAAGATCATGCATTTAGTATCTTGCTTACCGCCATCTCCGGTCTATAGCTGTTTCATGGCCATCGTTTTTCGTCTACAGGAAAAGACTTATGGCCATGCGGTCGAAAGGTTTACCATGCGAAAAGACCCTCTTCCAAATTTTTTTCGTATTAGTAATGTTATGCTCTGTTGTAGGAAAATTTTCCGCTTCCCACGTAGACCACATTGTCATTGTTAACCAAACACGCTGTCAACTGAATGTAATGCATAAAAATAACGATTTAATAATTTTTATAGTAATTTTGAAAGCAGACTAAATTTGAAACTTTTTCTTTTTAATGAAAAAATGTATTAAAATCCGTCTTTTAGTTCATTACGGGGGTAAAGAACGTTCGGACACATTGTCAATAAAACATCCCTGGGAAAGAAGAGGGTATAAAACCCGGGTGCATCAAAGGGGCCCTTGTTCTCTTCTTAATTTATCGATGATTTCTCCTAAAGAATGTTTTTGCCCGTGGGCTTTGGCCCTGAAGTCCATGTGAATCTCTCCAAATCATTATTTTTTTAAAGGGATTGCCTGCCTACGCCGCAACAGTTACTTTAAGTTGCTGACACTTTTCTATTCACGCGATTACACATATGTACGGGGTCTTACCATGCTGTTATATAACCAAATAAAACTGTTCGTAAGCTGCTAGTGTAGACCCCTGAGATCGGTCCCCCACCAGGATCTAGATAACCGGCCCCCCCGCTCTTATCTCAAGGTCTAGGACCGTAGGGAGAAACATTTTCTTGTAGTCTGAAC